TGCATTTCGAAGGAGCGACGGCTACACCTATGCAAACAGAGCCGCTGAACCACCGACGGGACTCGCCTGAAGCCGTCGGTCTGTGTTCCACGAGTGTACCCAAGCTGACTCTTTGCAAACAATGTTGCCAGGCACGTCGCGAAAACATAAGTAGCTGAGTCCGTGGATTTCATCCGGAAGGGGGGAAAATGTTATAGGTATTCGCAGCGCGTACAGGTAAGGCGCTTCGCCGATGGCAAACTTGGTAGGCTAAACATGAAGTTACTTCGAGTTATGAAAGAAAGATAGATAGAGAAGCCTTGACCCCATGAGCCATGAGTGTAATTATTAGACTTCGGATGTTTATACATTTACAGCGACTTTCAACTTGGAAAATAAAATAAAATAAAGATTTTAATAAAGTTTCAAGCTGTTTATGTCTTATTATTAATTTAGTAAAGCCTTTGGTACAGAATTTAAAATTCTACTCGGTTACAATGTTTAAGTTATTAGTATTTGATATTGTGAATTTGCATAAATTTCCACAGTCTAGTGATTAGTCAATATCTACTTGAACCAACGGCGTAGAAAAGCGTGAGTCTAGTAAATATAAGATCGAAGATCCAAGTCTGAAAGCCCCCAGACCTGGGAACCTAAGACTTAAGCTACTTGAACACCTTAGAGTCAATCCTGAGACTCCTTGGAACCAAGTACCCAAGATCAAAACTCCCAGATTCAAGGTCCCAAGTTTAAAACCCCTGAACCCAAAGTCCCAAGCACTAAACACCTCTAACCCCAGGTCCCAAGCTTAAAACGCTTAAGACTCAAGGTGCATGAATCGAGTCCCTCGTCTCCTGGGGTGATCTGATTACAAATTTCTCAGTCCTCAGTTTGTACAATTCGGGTCCCTTGGATCTAAGTGGATCTACATATTTCGAATCTCCCAGTTCCCGTTATTCCAATTCAAGCTTCTAATTACCAATTTCCCTACCTATGGACTACATAAGTTACCCCAATTGAACTGTTATAAACCCCATGTGTTCTGACGTTGGTGGTATCTAAATGAAAATACACAAGTTTCCCTTTGTTCCTTGTAACACAGAATCTTCACCAGATACACGATCATTCCTAATGAATCCACTGAACAGTACCCACTTGGCGTGTATTTCCACGTACCTCGTCGTTACGCCAAAGTTTCACCCGGGGATCGACCTATATCAGTTCGCTGATGGCCCCCTTATAAGTGCCGCGATACCATCACCCCCGTTTCTCGAAATGGGTGGAACGGGACGAAGACGAAGGGAGGGCGAGCGTATACACAGTCGAGTGAAATAATTTCCTGGTGTCCTCCGCAGCTACGAAAGAGGAAGAACGGAAGCGAACTGGTCTTTCACAAAGTTTCTTGGACACTCGAAGAAGCTTCTACTGTGAGAAACCGCCGGATAATGGTCTCCACCCCATCCATTCCCCACCCGTAGACGGAGAACGACCGAGTGATCCTTCAGGATAAAGGGTGGTACCGCACACGTACACACAAAGGGACGTTCTTCCGCTCGCGTGTGTACCAAGGCTCCTACAAAGCGTATCCTGCCTACTTCACGGAGGAATCCCGCTGGAAAGACCAAATCTCCGCGTCCTCCTTTCCGACGTAATGACTGCGGTGCACGTTCCCTGCCCTTTGATACGCGAGACTGACATGCGTGCCATCCAAATTGGCCCCGGATCCCGTCCATCCCCCCCATCGAGTATCTGGATAAAACGATGGACCTGGTTCTTTGTTAGCCAAAACGTTATGCTAACATCCGTGATTCAATATAATCATGTTAAACTCTTCTCTGTCAGACTTTTCCTTACTGATTTCTTGTCAATCTCTTACAAAGTTTGCACGGAAGATATTCGAAAACAAGTGTTTCAAATTGTTACGCAGGATGAAATAAAAAAAAAAAGTATTCATAACTTCTATAATGAACTATTCTATATAAATTGTGAAAACAAATTTAAAAATGGGTGCCTAGGTGCCCGGTTACATAAGAGTTAACGTCTACAATTAATAAATATTTCTAGTTAACGAACCAAATACTAACTTCCTCGTTGCAGATACATACAATAACCGTCCGTGCGATAATCAATTCGCTTTTTCAGCCCGTTAGGAGACCAGACGGCGGCGAATTCCAAAGGGGCGACGTGAACACAACATGATCACATCCAGAGGACGCAGAATACCGTTGGTGTCGTTCGTTTGTCCTCTGTGTGCCGCGGACGGAAGAGAGCGAGAGTGCATCAACCCTCTCTCGCCACGACGGGACAGAGAATATACACACAGAGAACCGTCGAAAGAGGAACCAACAAACCAGTCCCGTGAATCCCCCCCCCCCAACGGTGGTGGGTAGGCAGTGGCCCGAGAAATTCAATTACGGCTAAACTTCTCGACCGAAGATGCGCCAGCCAACCCGCCTCTGTGCACTACTGTAAGCACTCTGTTTCGAAGATCGAAGACCTGAGAGACATCTTGTGCATTTGCGACCCTCGACTTTTCAGATACGGAGGGGGTGGCGAGGGAACAACACAGGGCAAACGGGAACAAGAGGAGCCTAGGTGTAATTGAAACCGAGTGAAATCGAAGTTTCCATCCCTTCGGCCGAAGACTACACCCCCCCACAGCGAGGGAAAAAATTGTGAAAACAATTTCTGTCCGATGCAAGGGGGTCTGGGATACCGTTCAGCATTCAGGGAAGTAGTTTGAGGAAAGCGGACGAAAGATCACGAGGTATGGTAAAGAGTTGTTTTAGGATGGTTTCTGTGTTGTGTATGAGGTACAGTGATTGGATGTATTGTTTATTGTATCGATCTTGAATTTACGTGTTACAAAGGGTGAAGCACTTCGAATTTATGCATTGTATAGAAAATTATTTCTACAGATGTTACGTTGTAGCAAGGGGGACATCGTGTGGTGTACATGACTCCTTTATAAGTGGATAATATTAATAATTAAAAATTTTTTAAAAAATATGTCCGTATTCTGTGATCGATTCTCTTTAAAATGAATTTCTTTAATTGCGAGTCACTCGAAAATTGTAGTCAAAATAAGCCGACGAAACTCAGGCGACAGAGCCTCGAAAAAAACTTTCTCCCAAACTAATCGTTCTCCCTTCCAATCGCGGAATGGCCATAAATTTTTCGTTCGAATTTTACCGAAACTGCGATACGAGCAACGACAATCGTGGCACGCGACCAACAGAGGAGAGACAGAATGGACGAAGTAGCGCATGCGTTTAGCACGCATGAGTTGCGTACCGAGTGGCCCATTAGGAGCGTGCGTGAACGTACTACACACGGGGCTAAATAGGGCAAGTGGCCAAGAGACCATAATGTTAAGTAAATAATGGCCAAACTCCCCGGGCCCCTTATTATACCACTCAAACCAGAGGTCGTGCACACTCGTTAGTGGCGGCTTTTAATTCTCTCCGACGGTTCAACCCTTCGGTTCTTTCTCCGTCGGGCTTCTTCTCCTTGCCACGGCTCATTCTCACCCTCCCGTGAAGTGCACACGCGTGCCCCGTTCGCTCACGTGCGAGAGCTCCGTGACCATCGTGGCTCCTTACGGCGCCTAGGTGTTCCCCACCTGTTCGATGACGACGATGGCTTGCCGATTCGATCAACAATTTTTTCGAAATCCCTATCTACAGCAGATTTGGCCAAAATGTAATCTAATTACAAAATCGAAATTACAGTTACGATGTAACTGCAAATACAATTTCAATTACATTGCAAATAACTACACTAAATTTACAATAAAAATTATAATGTAATTGCAATTTAGATTTTGTAATTAGATTACATTTTACCCAACTTTTCGAAATTTATACAAAATTCAGCCTCAAAAGATATAAAAATAATCCTAGAAGCTAAGACGATTAGAACGTTTAGTAGTAAATAGTAATCTTCTTTTAATGATATTCAATGAATTCAGTAACCTTAATTTAATAAACTCGTCTTAGTTCATTTGACACTACTAAATTGGAGGCTTGAAATCGGAATGCAGACAAAGTGTGTAATTAAATATCAAGGTCAGGGCTATTGATATATTGCCGTCTTGAGATGCACTTTAGAACTTCTAAAGACATCACGAAATAAGCACCTCGGAACTGTGATATTCAACGAGGAAGCACATTGCAGTTTCTGGCCCAAGAGCCCTCTAAGTAGCCCCAGAGCAGCAGCTCGAAAACTATCCAGAATATCGCGAGGGTAGGGAACTTCCGAGCATCCGAAATATCACAAAGGGAATAAATTTCCAACCATCCGGAATATCTCAAGAGTACAAACCCCGTCTGAGCCGTTCGGAATATTTTAACAATACAAACGTTCTGGAGTTTTGCCACCTCCAACGGGTCATAAACGTAAAAGATGAAATGTCTTGTATTACCCAAGAGAACCTGGAACTGTCTGATACATTTAAAATTCTATGAATCATACCTTAAGATTGTAGTTTTTTTCGAATCATAGGAGAACAAACACCCCAAACGATCAGAATATTCTAGGTCCAGTCCTAGAAAACCATTAACCCTCTAGCTACCAAGCGACATTATAGTGCCTTCCACGGCACGATTATTTATGACAAAACGTCATCACAGTACGAATAGCTTCTCTCATTATCCGAATGACGCAGGCATAATCTAAACAGTCTTCCCCCAAATTTCGGGATTGGAATGCCAATCATACCCCAGACAGCACATTACGCCTTGGAAACGGCTTAAAAAGGTTCGCCATCACTGCCATAGAGTCTTCAGTCGCCCGACAAGATTCATCAATTTGTAAGGAGGCCGAAAATAAAAGGATGGTCATAAACGAAATAAATTAATAATTTATTAAACGATACGCTTCGAACTGCTCTAACATATGGCCGGCAACAACAATGCTCACGCAATGAACAAATGCTCCGTCACGTTACCAGAAATCCAGGCGATTGGGAGAAACGTCTCCACACACCCACCTGTCCGATAAGATCTACAAATTTCACTCACCTGCAATTCCACCGCCGATCGGTTCCTGTTTCTCGAGCTTCGGCTGTCGGTACTCGTCCTGCGGCAGCCTCTTCCGTTGCATCAGCCCGCAATCGGGCTGCTGGTGCTGTAGCTGGGTCTGGATGTGTGCTGCCGCGGCTGCGGCTGCGGCCGCCGCCGCCGCAGGAATCGCCAGACCGGCTGGACTTGCTACGTGGGCCGGGTGCGGGGGTGGGCTGCCAGCTGGCGTGCTCCCGGTACCCGCGCCAGGGAGAACGGGGGCGGTATTGCAGCTGCCCGCATTGTACTGCAGTTGCAGACCCAACTCGCGCGCCTCGCTCTCCTCTTGGGCCTGCTGCCTCCGTAACGCAACCTGCGAACCGTTTTTTTTTAACAACCAATTAGAAGCTTCGAAATCATCGACGGAAAATAATCCATGAAGACAGGAAATCCTCGATGTGTGTTCGATGGCTCCTTGGCACTAAATATTAAATATTTTGTAAACTAATGGACATATACGGCTGGAAGAAATATCATTGACTTCAGAATTCCAAGCTCTATCGATTTGGTAAACCTCATGAAAAAGTCGGCGGTACACTTGAAGACCTCTACTAATCAGGAGCCCTGGAACACTGATCGAAGATTGACTGTGTGAACTGATGACGTTTAACTACATTTGTACATACAGTGGACGCCTACTTTGTCACTTTATTTTTTAGGTTGCCGAATTTGATACATCGCATCGCCTAGATGGGACCAGTCTAGTTATTATTCGTTGAACTTTTTAATTTCTACGTTCCCGAAGAGTGTTTACATCAAACACGATTCGACTTTCGGTTGACTAGAGATCAATTTCACGGCTGATCGGCCAAAGATATCTGGAGAGATAGGATACAGGTGCGATCACGAAGAAGCAGATATCAAGATGATCCAATAAGGGGCACGAGGGTCCGCGAATCAAAACCTCGAGTGAGTATAGTGTTACGATCCGGCGGAGCCACAGTAAGGGGTGGTAACGGTAGCATCGTCCGTGATGAAAATGGAGATGTAACGAATTAATTGTCTGCATTCAAAATTTCAGAATTTTTTGTGAATTTTATTCATTTAGGCGGGACCATCGAGTGTAAAGGGTTATTGTTCACCAATAACTATACTGTCGATAGTGTTTCCATTTCTAAGTTTGATTAATTGAAAAATTTTAATTCATTAATATCTTCATCATGATACGATGCAAAATGCTAAAATGAATTCAATTAATTTGACCGAATTTTGTCTTTTATTTGGTTATTTTCAATGTGACTTCAAAATATTTTATAAATATAATAATGTCGAAGAATATTTTTATGAGAAATAAAGAAGATTTAAAGTATCAGTATAATGGCAACTAAGATAATGAATAAAATTGTTAGTGTTACAGAGTAATTACCATTCTTTCTAAAAGTTGATGGTATTTTAAAAATTGATCATAAACTATATAATTCCATTATTTAACTAATAATGGATTAAATATGTTCTTATCTGTTACTAGAATGTTTTTGTATGTATAATTAAGTTAATGTGCAACTTGAAAGGAAAATGGTAACTTCTCGCTGGCGACGGTAACAAAATGGACGCTGTAAACGCGACTTATTTCCTTGTCGGATTAAGAAATTTAAGAATCGTCGAGAGAAAGAAAGTCGCACGTTTCAAGAGACCCTCAAGGCCGATTCTAATTGAATCAGTTCACACTTCCTTGATTCATTTCACGAAGCCATGGGAAAGAAAACGGCACCCTTAACTCGCGCCTCTAAGAAATGCTTTCGTAGAATTTGCTACAGGTAATACATTTTTATTGAAATATCAGTCGATCATTTCAATCATGATTTTTCATCAATAATACCGTAAATTATGTAAATACAGTTCGTATACCATTTGTTAATTTGTTCTCAAACAACAGTAAACATAGTAACGATATTTATATTTACACCATATTGATAAATAGATAACTACAAATTTGTTATAGAATCGTGCAAATTTAGTTACTGTAACACATAGCTTGAATGATTCTTACCACTCGTAGGTCCCGATCATGGTCACAAACTTCATTTATTTTATTATAATACAACAATCCAAACACATCACGTTTAAATAAATTTTTGTATACGTGATTCGTTACAAATAGCAAAAAAAATAATGCACTCTTTTCAGTACTATAGATAACAAATGAATCGTGCTAATACCTCTACTCCAATTTTATATGTATATTACACGTTTAACAGAAACTCAAAAGAATTATTCAGAAATAAACCAGTAAAACAGCATTCGCAAACGAACTACCAACGGTTCCAACAGACCAATACACAATTATGCAAAATCTACTTCCGGTCAACTGACATGTTAGGTTAAACCATAAGCAACTTCCGGTTTATTACTGGTTAATATAAGACTACGTTTCAAAATAATACTGTTATGCCTTTCCTTTTAAACATTCTTAATAACTGTCAACACAGTCTATTCATAAACTGTTCACCAACGGAAATTACACAATAACCCGATTACTTCATACTGTACATATTTCCTTTCACAGCGGTACGAACTGACGCTTCAAAAATTCGATTAGTAACCAGCATTTTTCTTCAACGACAGTTTCTCAATGAAATTTCAAACGACACTGTACACGCACGAGCAAACTCGGCTTCCACCATAGAAAAAAGTGGCGTAGGAGAAGGACCTCCTACAACTTGATAAATTTATTCCAAAAACTGAAATAAATGGCAAATTGAATGTTAATTTGACATATATTTCAATTATTCCCGAAACCAAATCGCAAGAGGTCCTTCTCTACGTTACTTTTTCCCCTAGTGGAAGCCGAGTTTGCTCGCGAGTGTACCTAACCCCGTTCACCTTATAAACGGCACATAAACGATATTCAAAAAAGTTCGATTGCCTGACTATCACATGAACGTTCCCCACGGACAAACCATACAAGAACAATAACAACTCAAACGACACTTTACCTGAGCAGCCATGACTCGTTGCCTCTCGGCGATCAGGGTACATTTCGCACACACGCAGTCCCGCCAACGGCAATACCGTTTGTGCCCCTTCAACGCGGACACGACACCGTGGTTCCGACATCTCGCGCACTTTGGTGTCCTCTGATATCTCTCGGCACTGGCACGTAGAAAGAACGCGGCCGGTAACACGTGATGCTGCTGCTGTTGCTGTTGGTGTTGCATCAATTGTCCCACGTCGACACCGAGACCGACACCCCGCGGCAACGACATCGTGTCGACCGGTATCGTAGACCGAACCACGAACGTAATTAAACGCGATCGGTAACGACCAAACGTTCACTAAACAAGAAACAACGATACAACAACGGTGATCATCGTCGTCTAAACGGCACAAACGTTCGGAACAAAAAAAAATTAAAAACCACCGTATGCGTAACACGATATCACGGTGTACAGTCTCTGTCGGCCGAGCGTAAAGCCCAGTACTCACTGACACGCGTCGCTCTCATCCTAGCAGCGGCCGTATCACTACCGTGCGAGTCCCTCGGTAACAATGTATCCCTCGAGAGCTCCGAGCGTACGATTTCTCGATCCCTCTGTTCCCCCGGAACACGAGAGAGGGTATGGGAGGTGGGGGATCAGAACGCAGTTTAAAATCGTCGGGACGAAGAACCTCACACGCGATCGTTACTCTCGGTTCGCACAACGGGTGCACCACAGGATTCTTCGTGCGATGGATCGTGGTCACACCGGGGTTCTCTCCTTACTTCCGACCGAAGAAATCACATTTAAACGGTGTTCGACGGTGGAAACTCTCGGAACCGGCACACCGTGCGGAGCGAGAGAGAGAAACGTTCGAACTGGCGGCGGGGGTGAGGGGGAGCGCGAAGAGACTGGGTAGGTGGCGACGAGCGGCGGTGAAGAGGGGAAACTCACGCGGGGCCTAGCAGCGGACACGCGCACGCGCCCACACGTCCATTGAGTCCACAACGGAGAAGAGTAGCGACGGCGGACAGCACCACCGTTCGTACGGGTGTCGGGGTACGAAATGCGGGATCGGGCCGACTCTTCTCGCAGCGCGTTCTCTCTCTCGTTCTTCCGGCATTGTCAACAATTGCAGCATCCCGGGGAGAGTCGATTCAGGTAGTGCGACGCGGAGAGACAGAGAAACGACGACGTCGGCGGCGGTGGCGGTGGTGGTGTCGGGCAGCAAAGAGGGAGCCGAAGGCGGACGACGACACGGTGAGAGGTGGGGGAACAGTGACACGGTGGAGGGGAGGATTAAAAGTGAGGGGTTGGGAAGGTGGTGGCGGGTGTGGAATGTCGCGAGAGGATCCAGGAAGCGAGGCTAGGAACAGAATGGGAGAAAGAAAGACAGGGGTACTCGGAAAGTGTGGAGTAAAAACGTGAAAGAAGGTGGAAAAGTGACGACGGAAAGATCGCCGGAGAGAAAGAAAGGTAAAAGAAACGTGTGTCAGCGTGAGAAAGAGAGAGGAATCGCGGTGGGCAGAGTGGAGCATAAGAGGGATGCAGCGTTCAAACGAGAAAGAAAGAGTGACGGTGGAAGGGAGAGAGAGAGAGAAGGAATTCGTAGCGGGGGTGGATAGGGCAGAAACTAACGACCCCTCCACAGTTGCCGCGAAATAAAACACTGTGCCACAGTGTACCTCCCCGGGGCTTCGGCCAAACGCAAAGCCTCGGTTAGGCGCGGCCACGCCCGCCCGACTATCCGATTGGCCGAGCACGCTTGTTCCACCAAGATGTTAAGAGTTTATATTCTGACCGGGGTGAATGGGGGACATACCTAACCACGTACCCACCTACCTCTCTCTCTCGACTCTCTCACCCTCGGATAAACTATGCGTACAGAAGAGAGAGAGAGAGAGAGTGACAGAGCCGCGCGGCACTGTGTGGCATCGAGGAACAGTGTGTTGTGTGTATATTCTGTCGTACGGAGGCAAAACGGGGGACAAACACATTACTCTTTTATTTAAAAACCCGTTTACGAACCTGAAACACAATGCGAGCGATGCTCACAGACGTTTCTCTCTATTGCTCCGCCTTTTGTTTCGCCCGGGACTGTTTTTCTTCGGCCCCTTTCGGAGAAGAACGTGTCCCTTCTTTCTTTATTTCTTTCCTTCTTGTTAGTTTCTCCCCCACTTCGGTCGTCTCTCGCTCGGTCGGTCACGGTTGCTCGCGGTTCGCCCGTCTCTCCGCGCTTCTGTTTTCCTTCTTTTTTTTCCTTTACCATCCATCCCAGGGCCATGCCCCGCGCGCTGTAGAGCCACGCACGGGCACACTATCGCGCCATATAGCGACGAGCCTTTCTTGAATCATATTCTACAATGAGGTTTCAATAGGGGGAAGCCCTATTGTCGTTCACCAATGGCGACCGATTTTATAGTGATCTAATGTACAGATGTTATTTACCCGGCAATGAGAACGGAATAAAGGCGGTTCCCTATATGTGTGTGTGCAGTATAAGCGCGTTCTGTGATTCTCGATCCCTGCGCGTATCTCTCTCTTTCTCTCCGTGTGCTCAACTGGCCTGAACGTCTACCTACGGCAAGCCCACGAGGCACAATTGTACTCTACCGTCCGAGAATATACACAATGGCACCATTACTTTTGACTTAGCCATGCGAACGAAAGTAACTGTGTAATGTCGTGTCCGGGCTACGGGTATTTGCATTTAAATATGGCCGTTCGTGAGCACTACTGCGGCCGTATCACGTTACGCGTAAACCGACACCGGTAAACGTAACTATTAGATTATTATTCGGGATTAAATCGGCCATGTTTCACACGTGGCTCCGTTTTCGTTGTACAGTAGTGGAGCCCCGTTTATACGGATTAATGAGGGACACGGATATGAGGATCGTTTTTGGATAATGGAATACGTACTTTCTTGTAGTTGTTTGCCCTATTGTATTGGGAAAGAAGAATACAATTTGTAGATTAATAGCAGAAATATAAAGGTAGAATTTTTCCATTATTTTTCACTTCTTTATGGAAATTCTTTATATTTCTCGGATCATTGCGTTAGACCCATTATAAGTACAAATTTCATTTTATTTACAGTCCGGTAAAAATTTGTATCGTCTAACTAAATATTATTGTCGATTGGTAATATGTACGTTGTTACATGATTTTTATATTTATAGCAGTAACAAAAATACGGTATTGGTAGAACTACATGATTTGTAAAATGGAAATTCGTTATTTTCCACGACAGTTAATATTACAATGTTAACTCTTGTTGACAGTAAGTATTGCAATGTTAATATTTAAAAATATGCAGTTAATATTTACAAAACGACAATAAGGTGCTATATTCCATGTTTCGTTTCGAAGCTTTTCTTCAATATGAAATGACTCGGTCCCCGTTGGAATAAAAGCGTTCGGCTACGGTTTTCACTGAACTGCAAATTTCGACGCGTTCATCGATTATTTATAAAATGCAATGACGATTGAGCAACATCGAAGGCACGCGTGGGGAACCGGAGTATGTATTCATAGACACTGGGTGTACACCAACACGGACCATTTTTTACTCTGGCATATCGGCCACTCAAAAGCGTACGGTACGCGCCGATGATAAATCAATAAACCAATAGCTGTGGCAGTGCATACCTACCTGCTTTTAAAGTATCAGGCGACACCTCCACATCCATATTTACGCAGTCAGCGAATTTAACAATGCCAACGAAATTTTGCATTTTCCACCCGTACTTAAAATTATTGACGTAAAACGTATAATAATCGAACAATAAATTTTTGTAGACACTCGAAAACAATCGTAAATCGTTTTACGCATTGTTTTGAACAGGCACCATTGATGATTACAGTACGAGCACCATCATTTTTTCAACAACGTTAATGATAACAGTAAACTGATAATAGATCGTCTGTATAAAGCTACGTCTACACTATATAACAGAATAGTGTTATATAACATGTTTTTATAACTTGTTACAAGATTATACTTTCTGCACGAGCCTGTAACAAGTTGGTGTAACATTTCGCATCTCATTATTTAATAATGGCGTCACATTTGATGGATAACATATAATTTGCCCAACTCTGCTATATAACGTGTTATGCTATATAGTGCAGACGCAGGTTTAGGCATTCTGAAAGATATCATCACAATAAAAAGAACTAGAAACAAAAGTAAAATACCAAAAATAACAGGAAAAAGTCTGTTTTAAATCTCTCGACGGTTGTAACTCCTACTGACAGCGTATAGGTTAGGTATCTACTCGAGACGTGAAACGAAGGAAAAATTGTATCAAAACGTTATATCTACGCGATAGAACGAAACATCGGAAGATGCAACACCATTGGAACGTTCTCAAGCGTCTTAAAGATCAAAAAGAAACAATTTTTCATCGGGAAGACTCTCCCACGATTCTTACCTCCTGACCTTCGGGTGTTCTCAGATGTATCCGATTGATCGATGAATGCAGCAGGTACCACGTGCAAACAACTTGTATACACACGGGGAACCTCCCTTTCGGCTATTTACACATTGGGGAGCCGAGATCGAGATCAAGATCGCGTCTGTATCGAATTACAATGTTTGCAAACATAACGCCGATCGGCAACACCACGGAAACAGCTGATCAAATCGTTCTGCTGATCGGATAAGGGAGATTAGGACTGGCGGTCGGTGCACAGTCGAAGAGAAACAGGGGAAACGCAGGTACAAAGCTGCCTGGCACGATCTTCGGCGATGTATCTTGCGTGAGTGAATCATCTGCGACATCTTTATCGGTCAACCAATAGGGCACAACGACAGAAGAACTTGCCTTGAGCATTCTGTTGCATGTGGTCCTTCGGTTACATCTAGGGATAAACCAATACCGTCGAAGTATTGTAACTTTTATTCATAACTTGTATCTTATATAAACAGTTAATGGGATTAAATAATTGTTTGCCAAATTGTGGATTAATTTTCAGTTTCAATTATCTTGCAGTTCACTGTACAGAATACATATAATTACCTAATCTGACGACGACTGTTCTTCCTAAATAGTTTCGATAACCAATCGGACGTTACTTTTGGTTTCTGTTCATGAAAATCGTGTGCCACTTTACAGTACGAGTTAATGTAATAAGATACTCAATTTGGTCTGTCAATCACAGGTAACCTACTCAAACGCTGGAGCTTCCACAATTTTTCGCCAGGTTGCGATAGTGAAATAAAAATTCTCTCTCGTCACTGTGCCGAATCGGCTGTAGGTTTTAACCGAACAGAGTAAAAATTATTTTTTTGTAATTCGTGAAACAAAACTCTGGTCGATTCGAAACGATGCTGTTAAAATTTTAAGTCGATGAGAATCTTCAGCGATTTAAAATTTTATGGAGTCTTTTCGAATCGATCAGAGTTTTGTTTGAAGAATCTTGTGTACAATTGGCTAGAAGGCGGGACCAAGTTGAAACGAGGGGTGGCAAACTGTGTACATTAGGGTGTCACCACGGATTGATAACCAGTTGGAGGCGCTGCAAGAATCCAAGTAGCCATGAAGGACTTGTTGATCAAAGTAGACCGGTACAAGTAGGTCGAGGGGTACACATAAAGAGTTACTGCTCTAATCCTCTCAACATGCTACTCTTAATCCCTCCGTCAAAGTTATTTCATACTTCGTGCATCGTCACGGGCATTTAAATGACAAAGCTTCCAGTACACGGGGTCGACAGGACTGGATCTGGAAGGTATGGGGGTCTTATTGGTCGGAATATCGGTCCCACTCATCGTCATTCACACGACTGACTCGCGCAAAAGGAAGTTGTGTCTATCGATATCCCAAATTCTCATGTATACATGATCAAAATAATATCATTTGTCTTGTTTTTGAAGATTTTAGATAAATATAAACACAGAGAAATCAATATTAGATATGACTAGATTATTTGAAAAAAAAAACATTGATAACCTTGAAAAACTTGACCATTTTGAATTGTGAAACTATTAATAATAACTAAAACAATCGATATAATAGTAATATTACTTTGGGTCCCAATTGACCCGGTGTCCGCGGAGCCATGAGTGTTTCACAGTCAGTTGTCCGAGGGTTAAACTACGCAACGACGACGGCCACCTAATGTAGCGTTAGGACCTAACCTCCCTACCCCCAAATAGCACATGATGTCTTGAAGACGTCCATTTTATGACTATTTTAGGTCTAAGACGCCTTTAAGCCGTCGTTAAGGCGTCATTAGGCGTTATGTGCTATTTGGGTAGAATATCGGTGCACGAACGAAGATTCCTGGAAGGGGGCAAGAGGAGAAACGGCACGAAAGAGAGAAGTGTACGCATATGGGTTATGTATGGATCTCTCGGGGTGTTCTGTGTTTGAAGGGTTGTGGATAATATATAGCCCGTTTCGCCGGAGAGAGCTTTTTAGCTTTTGACCGTTTCATCCGGCGTCGGTCGGCCGGCCGACTCGCCTGCTACTCGCCCGTCCACCTCGGCTCGCTTGCAGCCCTCTCTGCGGTCTGGGGCTTTAAAAAATGAGCCAGGACATTATTTTTACGCGGTCCTCCACCCTCCACTCCTCCCCTCTGCCCTCCAACCCATCGACGACGACCCCGTGGTAGCTCCGAGTGACCGGTCCGGTTCAGCTTGGTCGTCGTTTCCACCGGCGCAGCTTGCAATGTGCCGCGTCAGCGAATGTGCAAAAATTCCAGGGGGAAGAGAAAAATCGAGGACACAGCGAATAGTGGGTGGGAAGAGGGGTGGAGGGCGGGGCGAGGAGTAAAATCGGCGACCGTTTCGCGGACAAGGGGGCGGGGAGAGACAAAGGGAGATTGGGATAGGTATGAAAGAGGGAAAAAGTTGCGGCGAGGTGCGAAAGCGAGAGAAAGCAGTGGGCTAGAGGAAGGGGGTGGAGGAAGGGGGGAGGAAAAGATTATATATCTCGTCTATCGCGTCCGTTCGGAGAGGTCGTTCACAGAGTATGGATGTGGGACCCGTGGATATACATATCCGCGGCCTGGAAGCCATTTTCAATTCAATCTGTTAAAAGCACGTCAAAAAGTCGTACGGTATTTCATCGACACTGGTGGATCGCGGCAGGGCCGTCCCAAGCCCTCATGCGGCGACGGTGAATACGAATACCTGCCGGTCTCCGGAGCTTGTGGATCCGACGAGATTGTACTTTCGGCCCTTGCACTGACCGGTCCACGTTGAAAATGAACGATGATCGATTGATGGAACCTGGTTTCTTATTGTTTACCCGATTTTTTTCTCGTTTAATCATTTGGGATTGCTGGAATGTATTGTAGATGTGAAATTAAACTGTCAAGAAGCTTCTTTTTAAAAGTACTACTGCAAGAATAAGAGACCGTGAATGTTAGTGTTCACAAATTTTTTTGTTTGTTTCAACATAGTCGCAAAGATAGGCAAATTCGTTATCTAGTATTTCGCCTTTTCAATAGCATAACCGTGAAAATTTCAATTTTTACAATAACACAATACTTGTCGAATGAGTAGACACTTGGCAAACAATTATTTCATTAACTGTTCAAAAGTCAGGATGACGATCCCATATACTGCTACTTTTCACGAATAAAATTGTGCTCAACTCTGCATAGTCGATAGAGTGTAGGGTGGAAAGAAGCGAAGACCTCCCCCGTCGTCCCGAAAGCGAACTGTATCAACCGAAGAGGGTGAAATGGGCGTGGTCAGGCAAGCCCTAGGTGAGAGACACAGTGTCGACCAATGCGACAGGCGTTCCCCGATGTGGCAACAGTTGCAAACGCAAGCGCCGTCAGGTCTCTGCGGATAGGTTGGATGTGCCACGGGTGTTTAATGTGTATTGGCGCAGACTCGCGCGAACACAACTCGGGGACAATGTTTCGGAAAGGTTACGCCTGTTTTCTCCTAGCGTTCAGATTGGTTACCGAATTAACCCGTTCGCTGGCTGGCAAGACTTCGCGACAGTTTACTCCAATCGTTTTGTCGTTCGAAACAAACGCTTCTGATTGGGCGCCACGATTAAACTGACGGTTTCGCAGTCTCGAGAACGCGGGAAACGTGATCGAGAAATCTAAACTGGGAGACAATTGATATTTGAAATCCAAACCGGTGGGTTGGGTCACTTGAGACCTTGAAGTTATTACTAAACTTATCGAGTTGATAAAAAAAAATGAAGCAAGTCTTAACAAAAGGTTTCATAAAATCTTTACTATATGTTTCATGGTCACTGGTTAATTTTGATTACCAATATTGTTATGATATCCGATAGAGGGCCGCCTTCTCGCAGTCTCAATAGTCTAAATGCGATCGTTCCGGTTCGAACATTACCGGCATTGGTTCGTTACCGTATTCCTTCAAAACGAACAACATAGATTCCACGATTTGCGAGGGCTGAACGTAAAAATATTTGTGCTCTTTTTCGGCATCTGCGTGTCTGTTGTAGGATTCCACGATGAATCTGCCGTCCGAGGTGAAAAACAATATTCTGGGTACGTATGTACCATCGGGCTCAAACTTCTTCTCATTTAATGCTTTATTCTTTCCCTTTTCCGCCTTTATCATCACGAATCTGTAAAAATAATGCTACCTGTGATTCTTTCTTGGGTTCTATTTAATTTTATCCGTGAAGTACGTTATTATTGTTGGCAGTGAAAATTGTGGTTGGAATAGTCAAGTGATTTATGAATAATATGTGTTAAAATAGGAAAGGATCAAATGGTAAATCGATTCGCGCTATTGTACAGATAAACTTGCTTTATCCCCACTCTCCTTGTCATAAAATTATACATTAAAAAGACGCGATTAAATATGTACTTTAAATACAAGAGAAAAAATATTAATAACCCACTTATTCCTCTTCAGAAAAAGATGGGTAGGGAATTTGTGTACAAAAGTATTAAATTGAAATGATCAAAAAATTAATACATACATTGAACGTATCTTAAAATCACAAAGGTAACACTAAAGGCATATATATTGTTAAGTGCATATTTATGAACATTGCAATAATTGTTATAAATTATATTACTTGTTTTTAGATAATTGTGAGTATTTGCAAATTGATATTATATCGTGTATAATTGTACAGTTATATAATTATAGTACATAATGAACGCCAAGAGCCATGACAGTGACCTCTAGCGACAAAAAATGTAACTGCCTGATTATCCACCGAGCTCGCATTCCGACAATATTTACCGATCGCTGAGATCCATCAGTCGCACAGATTTTGAAAATTTCTCTTTCATTTTCTCACACGCGGGACATCCTGTTTTGTAAATCAATAGAAATACTGGTTTCTTGGTTCTCTTAGCCTCTTCGAAACCGTTGTCAAGAGACCTCCATTTAAAAAGTTGATCAAAATCATAGTCCACTTTCGAGTCTGTTACCGTAGTGGTGAAAGTATTTTCTATTACTTGAGTTGTTAACTTAATGAGATTAAAAGAACTGAGGTATCTGGCACATTGAACGAAATTTATCATTGCACCAATGGGTCGGACATCATTATCTATGGTTACGAGCAAAAGAATCGATTGCAACCGTTTTCAATCATGAGTTTTCGCTAATATGGTTTCCTTCGAGTAATTTTGAATTTATGTTACACGACTAAATTTATCTAATTCGCTTTGTACACAATTCCGACAAAATTAGACTTTCTTGACAAACAAAATTTTATAAATAGTATTATCTAAACTGATTTAACCCTCGAAATGTCACGTCACGAATTATACAAATGTAGTCCGTGCATACATTCAGGATATTCAATATTAATTTTCTAATTGCATGCTGTGTTACTGTATTATAATTACCGACTAGGTATAAAGAATTAAAAAAAATCGTTTTCAGAGAACGGTATTTTGTAGAGGAATCTTCAAGGAATGTGGCTATATTTTCTTCAGGTTTCTAACTGACAGACCTCGATACTTTTACATCACAATTCTTATACATACGTATGGAGAGGATTGTAACAAGACATGTATGTTCGGCGTCATGTTTTTTGAGTGTTATCACGCGTTATATTCATTTTTTAAAGCTTTAAATCGAAACAACGCGTATTGTTTATTCCCGCCAAATCATTACACATTCCATTCGTGCTAATAATACCCAGATGCGTACTTTATCAGTATCAGTAACGTCGGGTATTGACACTAAAATGATAATACGGTGTTAGAACTCCAGAAAATTGAGCCACAAAAATGTTAAATCCGTTAAGTCTATTCTTATAACCTCGTATGTACATATGTACACATACTTATCTATGACTTATGATAATAGATCGACAGTACCATGTGAACACGATACATATGTTGTAATTCCCGATCACATTGGCGGCACTGTAGAACAAATTCAAATTTAGCGCCATTCGTATAAAGAGAAAATTACGTCCTTGTGTTCTTGCAATCAATTTAAGGTTATATTTCAGAGCGGTTTCATAAAACATGAATAACCGGCTGATCTTTCTGAACTCCTAACAGTATGTCTTCGTAAACTGCTATCACATGATCAATCGAATCGTTCCTGCAACAATGTGACAATGGTGAAAAACAAACTCATATTAAAGGATAGGTTAAGATACTTTCCTTCAGCATTACATTCTTTTTGAATAATTCGAGAATATAACGAGCCATCGAGAAAAATGAGCAAACTATGGAATTATCTAGTTTTTCAAGGATGGATGTCGTACTTAATGGCAGCCGGCCTGCTCATCTTCACAAGCGGTTTCCTACTTAATCGTGTATCTAGGCCAGAACACGCCGAATGTAAATATTGTACGGATTCTGGAGACTGCGACATCGAAAACCTTCTTCAGGATCCTAAAACTGCCGCGACCACTTGCCTCGAAAAAAGGGCACGCGTCGTGTTGCTAGTCGTTGACGCATTAAAATATGATTTTGTAAATTGGTACGATGACAACAGCTCTGTCCCGACATATTATGGCAACAAGATACCAATAATACACAAACTACTGCAAACTCAACCAATGAATTCTCGTTTGTACAAATTCATAGCAGATCCTCCGACAACAACTATGCAGCGATTAAAAGGTTTTACCACTGGATCTCTGCCTACCTTCATTGATATTGGATCCAATTTTGCTTCTGAAAGCATAGACGAAGACAACATTGTGGAACAGAATGCTGGAAAAGGTATTATTTTCATGGGTGATGATACCTGGACAAATTTGTTTCCTGGTAAATTCAAACGTCAGTTTCCATCACCGTCTTTTAATGTCTGGGATCTGGACAGTGTTGACAAAGATGTTAGGTATCGTATATTTTTCGAATTGAAGAAGAAGGATTGGTCTCTTCTTATAGCACATGTCCTTGGAATTGATCATTGTGGGCATAAGCATGGCCCTAATCATCCAGAAATGACCAGAAAATTAAATGATACTAATACACTGATCAAAGAGATCATTGAATCTTTGGAAAATGATACAATACTTTTTGTTGTTGGTGATCATGGAATGACAGACACTGGGGATCATGGTGGTGACAGTTCGAATGAAGTTGAAGCTGCCATGTTTGTTTATTCTTTGGTTCCTCTTCAGAAATATAATTCATTTCAAGGTACTGTGAATCAGATTGATCTTGTTCCTACATTGGCATCAATTCTTGGAACACCTATACCTTTCTCCAACTTGGGATCTGTCATACTTGATTCACTACCAAAGTCAACAAGAAAAGGAAAATTGCAAGATGATCTGTGGTACTCATTGCATTCCGTATGGAGAAACATTGCACAAACTAAACACTACATTGATGTGTATTCTATAGACAGTTATCTATTTTCCAAGGATCAACTTCAGAACTTAGAAGTCATGTACAATCATCTATTAGAACAGATAAAACATGTAAATACCATGGAGGAATTTGAATTATTCATTCAGAACAGCAAGAATTACTTCAAACTGCTTAAGGACACTTGTTCCGAAGTTTGGGTGCAATTTGATTCTAGCCTAATGTCTAAAGGTCTGGTCCTAATGTTTTGTACCTTATTCTTTTTCTACCTGTTTATTACGGGTATTCCAGAAAGTCGGATGTCTAAGATATTTCAGTCATCATATTTACAATGTTCTATTCTAGTGAATCTAATCACTGCGCTAGGTATCTTCTTCTTGTATTTCCTCAACATTCTAAGTGAGTTTAAAAACACTGCATTTTTCGCCACTGGTGTGGTTTCCATGGTATTATTAGTAATATTAATTGCCAAGAATTGGGATGTAATTTCGATGAGATGGTACGATTACCGCAAGATCAAGAAATTGATCTATATCACTAGAGTGATACTTCTTTTAACTGTATTCAGTCTTTTTTCCAACAGTTACATTGTCGAGGAAGATAATGTATTGTCCTTTTTACTTGTTACGCTTCTTTGTTTGCTCGCATTTAATTTGAAACAAGAAAACTCTAATGAAAATTCCGAACGGAAGGCGAAGCCGTTCATAAAGACGCAGCCAAAATCAAATTTAAGGACTGTAATAATCGCCGTTGGATTTGTAGCATGTGTGTCTATAAGACTGTCCCATTATTTCTGGCGTTGTCGAGAGGAGCAGCAACAACGTATGTGTTCTCTTCTGACAACTGGCAAAGCAGGATCCATAACATCAGACAGTTTGGAACGTGTGTTACTTGCCGTTACCTTGATTGTACTTGCTTTATATATCACAATAGTACGACTCTGGTTACAGAATTGTGGTAACCTTTCCGGCTTTTCGCCCAGTGTTTTGGTAGGACAATATTGTCCTGTTGTAATCGGTGTTTGTATGGGTTGTTACTGGGTTCTTCAACGATTACCAAAATTTGTCAAAGTGAAGTTTGCGCTATCCTGGCAAGTTAGTACATTGCCGAACATAGTGTACGCGTTCGGTTTATTATCGATCATTGTCCTCTGTTATCGTCCTCTCAGTATATTCTTACTGCCAAAGAAGAAGGAATCAATTAATCTATACAGTGACGAGAACATAGTACCACGACTGTTCGAGAAGATAAAAGAGTCAATATATCGTAAGAGGATAGACGCCGATGAAACACCAGTCGTTTACGGCTTGGGCACTGCCTATAGTGCTGCATTTATCTCGTTGAGCGTTTTTCTTATGCTGTTGTATTCTCTATTGTTAGGGGATATACTGTCTCCTAGCACATTCTTGATGTTTATTTCTTGTGCCTCTGTTCTGGGCTTGTCTGCAATAGAGAGATACAACAATGCTAATACTATATGTAAGTATTCCGAGTACATAGACAGCGTAGAAAGTGATTTATGTTGTATACCGTATACTTGTAATTACTGTTTCAAAAACAGCCGAACTTGTAGAAGTACCCACTTCTGCTCTAGTATGTTGGTTTCTGATAGCTGAGTATTTCTTTTATGGAACTGGCCATCAACCAACCTTTCCCACCATTCATTGGGAAGCTGCATTTGTCGGAACGGGTGGACATTTTTATGGAAACCTATTACCAGCGATACTAATAGGTGTGCATAAAATATATTCACATTAACACCCGGTACTACTTTTGCCAATGAATGGTATATTATATTTACAGGAATAAATACATTTGGATCGCACATTATATTAGGCGCAACATTACCGTTATTGGTAATTGTACCATATACGTTATACCTTGTATTTCCGAAATTGGTCAAAGCAAAATTCTCGGAAGACGATTTGAAAAGAGGGGAACTGCTACTTTTTGAACAGGACTCAGTGTTTCACGCGTCAGTTTTCTCAGTTGCTGGAAAATATACGCTGCTTCATGGAATTAGAGTAAGTTGCTACTGCTTTTTGTTTTAATGTCAGAATCGTTAGCGTTTGGACAAATGTGAAATAGCGAACGGAAAAATGGTTTTCTTTCTTCTAAAACTAGTCTAAATTAATGTATATTATAGACGTTTGGCAGCATGCTAGCCGCGACGATTCACTGTCGACATTTAATGGTTTGGAAGATCTTCGCGCCAAAGTTGATATTCGAGGGCTTAGGACTGTTAGTGACGTTGAGCAGTGTGCTGGCATCCTTTTACATGGTGTTCAGAATCGATCAACGAATGGAACATCTTATATCCAGAATGACGAAAGGCAGATGATAGTGATCCACGTTTTAATAAGGTGTACAATAGAAATTGTTAGTAAAATACCAAAGTTTTCAGACGGGATAACTCTAATATTAGGATACGCGCCAAGTGGCTCTTTTTACACTTTATTTCAGGGATGAAGGTTTCTTTTTTTTTTATTTTTTATTAAAGAAAGACACATAGACGTCTAACGTCAACACTTACCGATACTGCCAATGTTCCCGTGATTTTATATGACTTTACATAATGGGACTGTTAAACCGTATCTAACACTGAAAAATTATGCTAAAGTCTGTAGCACAGAAGATTGTGAAACAGTGTCTCTCTTCGATTCTTCAAAGACCAAGCCGTGTAATCGATTCTGGTGCTTCCTAACACACTAACGCTACCCTGCGTGCAATGCATTGCTGATTTCAATGAAACAAAGCAACGCACTTGATGCAGGATTGCGTCCATGTGCGCTGGTATCTGCTTGACTGGTGTGTACGGTACCATTTTACCATTTTACGTTCTTTATTGTTCAATGAACTCGAACGAATAACCATAAGTAGTATATACACGTCTTTTCTTCATTCGTTACAACCCGACACTGTATATAGCATGTATTATAAATCCAACGGAAAATTTAATAAAAAGACATTGTATATCTTCCAGGTATATATATCTTCTTATACGTTATAAAAGTAATAAAACTCTTGAGCATAACGGTGCCGTTTACTGATAACGTGGTGGCGCTGTTACTCGTTTATTTTGCAGAACGCACTTTATTGAAGAAAATTGCCAAGCGTACACGATATATAATATTTGTTACGTGAATACGTGGATCAGTTTTTAAAGATAAAAGTTTTGTAATTACAATTTATCGAAGTATTCCTCCTGGGACAAACCACAAGTGCCTAGTGGTGATTGTGATGCCTGTGTCCAGGGTAGTTGTTTCTCATGTATTCCATCCAGTTCGTCCATCTATTGGGATCCTCGTAATTGCTGTTCTCCTGCGACAAATGAACATGTTCACGGTATTCGAATTACATTAATCTCACGTACCTAGTTTTCGTAATTATTATATTGATAGCCTGGCACTTGCGTATTAGGCAGTACAGGCATTTGTATCTGAAAACAAATGAAGCTATCATGTTGCATAAGACCTCTCGTTATCTTCATTTGTTCGGTTATATTAACAGAGTACTATTACCAGAGCTTGAAGACTGTTATGATATCGATTTATGTTCTTGATACAGTTAATAAGAATCTTTATTCGGAATATCGCTTATGAAGAACCTAAATTTTAAACAATATTAGTTTCAGTTACAGTTTCTATATCAGTTCTACAATCATTATTTTTTAGGTTTTGAATGTTCTGATTTTATTTACAGTAAAATTCTGTAGAATCATTTCTATAACACGAATCGGTTCTATAACCCTTGTGGAACTTATATAGAACCTAAAAATAACGATTACAGAACTGATATACAGACTCCTCTCGATTATCGTCCGACTTATTCTACACGATTATTGTCCTGGCGTTCTCCAGGGGGGAGGCCATGGAGTCTGTCAAGCGCATACTTTGTTGCTCAGTCTGAAGCGTTTCTCTATATCAGATTATTGTCCCGGCGCGGACCCCAGTTCGAGACAATAATCGAGAGGAGTCTGTACTTCGAAATTTAGGTTCTTCGTAACAGTTATTCAGAATAAACGTTCTTCAGAACTGTTTCAGCCGGAACATTTATATAACAGTTTAAAACAGTCATTTTCGGGAACCGTTTCAAGCTCTGATTATTACTTCTGCCAAAATATACAAATCCTCTACATTTGTCTTTAAAATTCTTTCGACTAAAGATATTATTGGAAAATGTGTGTTTCAATTCATATTCTTTTTCTAACGCTTAAAAAAAAACTCACAAGTAATTTAATTCCTCCGCCTTGGTGTTCAGGTGTAGATCCTCCACCCGCCTCTACGGACTCCACGGAACCAGCCGGCAGACTCTGATACCCTTGGTGCATTTGCATCTTGACTCCACGTGCTTCTTGCTTGTGACCGGAACTACTATCTTCGTTCGAAAACTGGCCGTTGACATCTCGTTTCTGTTCCGGAGAAGACACCCAAAACGACCCCGGTGCCCTCTGCAACGATCGAGCGATCTTCGCCGCGTAAGGATTGGGCGACTCGTAGTCGAGCGTACTCAATTTACTCTTGAGAGCGTCTAGAAGATTCATGCTAGCGGGCGTTGCATAATCAGTAGCATACATTGGATAATTTGAATTAATTACTGGCCCAGAGACACTGCTGCTGGCAGCCATTTTAGCGTTTATTGCGCCCTGAACCGCCAACGTGATGTTCTTCTGCAGGTCCAACAACATGTCGAACACTTGGCTGAGTACTGTTATTTTCTGTTGGAAAGGAAGCGTCCCGTCGACCGTCGGCTTCGGCCACATACCCGGTGTAAACGGCTTGAACGGCTTCTTCGCCGAGGAGATCGGAGCTGTCGATTTCTCGTACGCAACCAAATCGTTCATCGTTGTCACCATGTTGCTCTTCAAATCACCTAATTCGGACAGTATACTGTCGACGACAGCGTCCTTGGCCGCGTTGATCGACGACAGATCGTCGATGGATCTCGCAATTTTCGCGCCACCCTCGTCGTCGGTTTTGATGGATCTCGCGAAGTCGCTTTTCATACTGTCAGTATCGACGGCGGTTTTGTTCAGCTTCAGACTCTCGAACAACTTGTCCAGAAAGTCTTCCACCTTGCTGCTGTAGTCTGCCGGCGTGGGTACCATCGACGTTGGAAACCAGAAGTCTGGCGGCACGATGGTGCTTTTCGTTGTCGGTGCTTCAGTCAGCGCGGCCGTTTCCGGGGCCGGTGTGCTGGTAGCGAGATTCTTGAACAGAGTGTCCAAGAACGCGGATTTCTTGGCTATGAACATGGACGGGTCCATCATCGGCGAGAATGGGCTGAACGGTCCGAACGGACCAAACATACCCGGTAGATACTCTTTCGGGGCAGTGGAGCTAGCCACTTTCTGGAGCAGCAGATTGAACTCGTCCTCCGGTTCTTCCGAAATCGGAGCAAGGGTGGGATACGGTGGCGGTGGTCCCAGGTCCTTAGTTTCTGGCTTGCCGTCACCCATAATTGCGCGAAGCTTCGTCAACGAGGATTCGTCTGTGCTTCGTCGTTTGCGGGAATAGTCGCCGCTGTAATCGGGCATGGCGTTCATATCTGAGTACTGAGACATGGGACCCATTGGACCGAACTTGGGACCCATTGGGCCGACAGATCCGGAACCGAAGGGCCCGAATATTCCACGCTTGTATGCGACGCTACCGTCTTCCATTTTACTTTTGTCCAAACTGTTTGGGGATGTCCCTGAGGCGGTACTGTATAAAGTTGGCCCACCCATAGCATACGGTATGAACGGCTTGAAAGGTCCCATTGGATAACCGGGGGGTCCCATTGGATAAGCTGGCCCCATAGGGTAGGCAGGTCCCATACCACCAAACAGGTTGCTCAACATATCTGTCTTCTTCGAGACCATCGCTTTCGGGTCAACGAGTTTCGGGAAAAGCGGAGACTTTGGCATGTATGGCACTGTTATGGTGTCCATTGCTGCTGGTAGTGGTGGTGGTCCTAGAGCTCTTGAGAAAACTGAAAATTAATCGTTGACGTTAAATATATGTATTTGCACATATACAGTTGTATGGAACATTTAAGAAAAAAAATCAGAAGTATTTTGAAAGCAAAAAGTGTGTTGTATTACCAGGTTGGGAAGCGTAGTATGTCCATGGTGCTGCGGCAGGAGCTTTAACAGCTGCACCAGCCGTTAGAGCTATTAAACTGGAAAGTAACGAGAGACTTTTGAGTGGAAACATCTTACACCAAGTTACTGAACTCTGTTCTTGCTTCTGCTTTTATAGCAACGGCCGGGTAATTATACTTGCAAAGCTTTTGGGATTACTGGTATGGGACCAATACTCCAATTTAAATAATCCGTCATACACAGAAGGTGCACTTATGTTTTATAATTAGACAATATGCTTTCTCTATACCGCTTAGGAAAGCAATTTCGTTCTTACTATTATAAATTCTCGATTGAAACGTCTATATTTAGTGCTTTCTTGTTAATGTTTTATTTTAATAATCGGAAAAATTAATGATAAACAATTTCTTTAGTTTCATTATTATTTAAATTATTCTTCGTTGATATTATTATAAATATTTTTTTAATCACCTTTATTTCATTCATACATGTCTTGTAAACTATTTTTCTGTGAGTTCGTTCTCCCTGTTATATGTACATATTCCTTCTGATTGGAATGTTCGTTTTTTCTTTTTATATTGGCAATTTCATTTAATTTGCTATTTCTTGTCTACTGAATCTAAAAGCAGACTGATTTCATGATCCAATTTGTAATCCGATTCCAATCGACTTGCAAACGAACTTGCGAGAAACGCGTTATTCGTTTGTCGACAATAATACATTATGGCAGCTGTTTTCATTATTTGGAAATTACCAATTGATTGTATCGACGAACATACATCAGCGCTTGTAGAAAAAGCTGTCACATCACAAAAAGGATATCTATATCAAAATGGAAATAAAGAAGTCCAGCGATAGTAAGTAACAGTACATTTCAAATACGTCGTTGCATCTTGTGATAAATACTATTTCAATAAGTTATTCCCTACCTGTATCAAAATGTTTGACATCAACTTTGAAAATGTCTTCTTTTAACAAAAACAATATTCATTGGAATTTTAAAAACAGGTGTTTCAAATGACATTAACTTCGATTAATTTTCTATTTTAGTTGTTATGGAACGTACGGATAATACAACAAATGTTTCTACGTTTGAAAACTTTCCACTATCGAGGATCACCCAGGAAAAAAATTCAAAAAGCACAAATGTTATTAATGCGATAAATCGACTGTTGAATATGTATCATTCCGAGGATGGAATCGCTGCTTATGAACGAGTATTAAAAACTCTTCTACTACTGTCTGAGAATTTCGACAGTAATACACAGCAACAGATAATTTCTATGGTACCATTGCCAAAGGGTGCTACAAGTGAATCCATTAAAGATGTAATATATAAAACAACAGGACTTATTGAAGTAGCTAATAACATGTATCAAAAGTATGATATATATATTTCATAATACCTCTCTATAAATCAGTAACACATAACAGTATTTTCTTTCTTTTTCTTGAAAGAAGTAATGTTGTTCCCAAAGACAAGCTTTGTACAGAAATTGCAACAGAAAAATCAAGGCTTCATTTAAATCAGAATGTAATGGCTGGCCTGCCTACTCAGAATCTGAAATTGGATGAAAATGTAAATGTTTGCCCAGAATCTAATTCAATGTTTTTCTAAATTTCTGAATTTAATTGTAATATATTAATTATTCTTCCCGTTTGTTCAGTTTGTACCTTCAGTACCTGAAGTCTTTAGAGGTTTCCCTCCTAACGAAATCTCTACGATTCACAGTCATGTAAGAAATGTGAATTATGTTTACGATACATTAGATTATAATATTCCGTGCATAGAATCTTGTATTGACGCGAGACAAAATTATCTACCACATTCTGACCAACAAGAGGGATCCTTGAAGCATCAGTCAAATTTAAAATTAAAGTGGATTCATACGCCTCATCTTGTGTACAAGAAAAACAGCTACCAAATCACAACACCCAGTTATCAGGAGAGTTTCTTTAATTCAATAGATGATAAATGTTTTCAATTACCCATTGATAAAGTGAATAATTATAATCAATGGAATCTACCTACCGTATCTCACATGCTACAGCAGGTCTGTAATTATGTCTACATTGAAAAAAAAGGAGTTAACATTAGAATAGTATCAGTAATTGTTAATATTAATTGAACTGTCTATAAATTAGAACATTAAAAATTATGTTACAGAATCATAATGGTCTAAAAAAGAAATTATGCGATACTAGTAAAATTTTAAATATACAGGATAAAACAGAAATTTTAAACTTTGATGTACCAAGTAGTGGTACATCTCTTCCGAGCTCTGGAATCAATTGTTGCGAATTTTTATACAACAATGGGCAAGATTTTAAGAACTATAACATTAATATAAATGAAAGCAAAATTTGTAAGATAGAAACACGGAAACGCTTTGAGCCAGAATTGAAAAGTGAACAACAAGCAATTCAAGAAGATATATACAAAATGGATGTTGTATTTTGGAATGAAAATATACATACAATATTAAATAATCAGGTAATAAAATAAAACAACATATTTACAATATCAATTCATACTTCAAAATAACTTCTACAGTATTATGATAATATTGCAGGTAACAACGGAGGATAATTTTACTTTGGACAATTTTATCGTCGACAAGAAACTTGAAACCAGCTTGCAAAATTTTTTGAAACGCGCAGACCAGGAAATTTTGATTGGTAATGAAATCGAATTTATATTTAATAGTTACTATTTGTTTTAATTCAAAACATACAAGCGTTACAAATTTGTATTCTTTTACGAATTTAGAGCTTCCAATATTCTCTCATATAAAGCCTCCACATACAATTCCTCCTGCAGCCAAATGTAGGAAATTCGTAACTCAGAAGAACCTAGAAAATAAAAATCAATTAGATTCTTTGATAAACAATGCCAATAACTATAAAAATCCAAGTTTACCAAAAAGTATGAAGAAATTAGGTGAAAAAAAGACTACAGGATTATTAAGTGTTTATCCAAAGTCTACGCAGTTGCAAGTGCTGCAGAAGAATTTAAACATTGCCTCTAATGATTTGCAATCGGTGAAATGCGAAAAAAAGGACAGCGTAGAGAATTTACCATACAAGTACCATTAAAATTGTCGCATAAATTTAATGTATTCGGTGATTAACAATTTACTTAACAGAATCGTTTGTGTTCAGATCTGCGGTGAAGCAAACAGAACAAAATAATGTGAATATTTTACAAAAAACTGCATCTGTTACAGAGTTAGCTATATTTAAGAAACATTACTATGATACGCTGTTAAATATTCAGAAGGCTAAAGGTTTCACTGGAACTTTTTATCGTTTGTTAACAATTTCTCATAGGAATATGATATTTTATGTATATTGTTGTTTATAGTGGCAGTGGCAAATTCCTTGGCAACATCGTCTGTGGAAAGTTCCACCAAATACGATCCATATTATTCAAGTCGTTCGTATCAGCAGCAGCAATTATTACAGCAACATGGTCAATTAACTGTGAACCCACAGTTTGCAGCACACACTGTGGCACAATCAGGATTATCAAACATACACAACGCTTCGTACACTTGGATGCGATATAACGATTGGAGACATCCAACAGTGAGACAATTAAGGCTCCCTCGACAGGTGAGATACTGAATAGTATTTAAATATATAAATATTTTCAAGTGTTTCTTTTATTATAATTACTTTGTCATTTCTCTCGTTTAGTCCCCGTTTCAACATTCAAGGAACAAAGAGTAAGTTCTTCGGTAGTGACTCTTAATCTATTTGATCTTTTCCTTTCTCTTTGTATACCTTTTATAGTAGATGTTATAAATACTCGGTACTCTCGTTCTTCCGTCAAAAGGAATTCCCGGCTGCATTACGTAAAGACAATGAATGTTCAGTGTTTCGCGCAAGAGAAAAGTAAGGAGGTGAAGCAATGTGTACAACGCAAGAAGTTAGAAGACATTGTTGGAAAATTGAGAGAGATAGAAAACGGTAACGTAAATAATTAAAAGATTTTCACTAACCTCTGCGAAGCTTTCTGATCCTCAAAAGTTTGATACATTCGTCTATAAATGAATACACTGTTTATGCATACTTGATCGTATACTGACACACAATGAAAGTGATATATCTTGGTAACATAATTACAAAGAGTATTTGCAAAAGTACATTTGCCGAATAGGAGTTCATCAGGGACATACAGACATTCTAAAATATAAGTAGATGAAGGCTTTTGAGTCAGGAGAGTACATGTCGGGCAATAGTTTTCATTCTCCTATTTATCTTGCACCAGTCTCAACAGTTAATGGATACACTGATACGTTTACACGTATATACATATATAATTTCTTCAACTATTTCTTTGGCACTGGTAAAAGATAACAATTGTAAGTGCTAGATTAATCGCTAATTGCGTTTCAATAATTTCGTTTGTATTTCGGACGATTGCGTGACAATTTATCATTTCCAATTGCACACACGCAGAGCATCCTTGCTGGCGTCAATCAGACCTTAATACTTATAACATATTGACTAACAAATGTACACCTGTTCATCGGTTAACATGGAACAAAGTTGCGTCTAATAGCTAATATTTTGTGGTATATTTATCGTTCAACATGTAACGTCATACGCATTCGTGACTTTGTACAGACCATCCCATACAGACGTCGTTTATCATTTATCCCTAGGTGTATAAAATAACTTTTAAAAGAATAAACGACACTTGTTAACTTATATGTTACATGGATCATTGATTGTTATTGTCCAGAACAATCGCTCTGAAGCACGACAAATTACCAACACACCGAATAGTTAAGACCATATGTAATCTTCGGTAATTCATCGAACCACATTTATCAACTTGCAATCTGCCTTATTCCAGAAAACGCTCGAGATCTGCTACCCTTTGTAATAGGCCTACGATAGAAATATTAATTATATTTAATGTTTATATTGTTATTATTAGTACTGGTAGCATCATCGTCAAACATAAAAACACATTTAATGCAACGATGTTGCTCTCAGTGCTTAATAATCAATTAAACAGAATGTTAGGCCAATCGTTTCTCGCAGTGCATAGCTCGTATTTTTTGTTCGGATTGTCATTATTCAGCATTGGAGTGATTAATGAACAAGATAGACGTGCTTAAGCAAGGCATATTCGGATCATTGACCTGCACTGCTTTAAGGATTATTTATTCCGTTTAAATACAGTGGTACTCGCTGGGCCCATCAAATAGAATAAAACACACAGGTAATGTCCCAGTTGTAAAGGGACTATAATTCTGAAATATAAAGAATCGTTTACATTTAACTTTAACAAATGAAAACCATTGAATGACATTCGAAATAAACTTGTTAAGTGAATGAAGGTGTGTTATACAAGAAAACATGTATCATAACGGTAACTGTATTTTGTGCGTTAAATGAGTGCCAGCGTTGTTGATATGAAAAATTGTTCACGGGCCAATTAAAGATCTGCGACAGTCAGAAAAATAATTATAATTTTATTCTATTATGCAAACACCTCTCTTTATATTTGAACTATTTCTCGCGTAACTTTAAAGTTATCAAGTGTTGAAAAATATTTTCGAAGAATTATTCGAGGGCAGAAAATAATGTGTGATGTATGATTGACCAGAAGCAAAAACCACTTGTAGTCTTAAGATTAGACGGAAGAATAATAAATAGTAGATTTTCGATAATTAGTAAGAATTTTAATCACTTGTTCTTTAATTAACATTTTCCGATCAACGTTCTTTATCAAAGTAAAGAGAAAATATGTCTCTATGAAAACCAACATTCTTGTTACAAAGACGAAACATAATATTCAAACGGCAACCTCTGCATTCCACAATGTACTGAGGTTTTTTAAAGTCAAACTTAATTCCAATATCTGTTAATATTTGTGCTGTGATTTAAAGCGTCCTCGGTTGAAAATCATACGGAAATACATTTAACGAGTGTGGCAGATTTATGTACGAAATATAAGATTAACAATTCATTTATCATGAGGTATTGCAGATTGTAGCGAGGTAAAGCCTCAGATACTAAGTCGTTGACAAGTAATAAAGTCATTCAATATACATGACACTCAAGGAGCGTTATATTTCTTCTGGCAGTGTCCGTACATATATATATATATATATATATATATATATGTATATATATATTTTTTTTTATCATTTCAGTTGAATTCGCAAACTAAATATTTTACACCATGTAACTATTCCATCCGACACTTTTTACGAAATCTATTCGCACTTTCAAACATTTCGCCAGTATACCAGCATATACCATGTACAAGAAAAATTACATTTATTCCTTCGTTGTGTCCACGTGAACCAAATTACCAACACTGTCAATATCGGCCACAACGAAGCTACCAAATATATATATATATATATATATATATATATTCTTCATCTTCTTTTATATGATCCTATATGAACACGCATTTTCCCTTATACTAATTAATTAATTAGAGAACTAACGCGTTACACACGCCATCATTGACTTAGATGATTGATGTGTGTACGTACTCTAATGTCGTATCAAAAGACAAATTAGCCGTTGCTTATGACCCTAATCAAGAATAGTTAACTTCTTCATGTTTGTGTCATTACAGTGGTCAATGATACAATCAACTGAAAAATGAAACAAGAGGTCCCAGTGTGATCCACTTCGACTCTTTATGCTAGTTAGTTATACCATAGAAGAGATGTTAAGGACCGATTGGTCAAGAAACACAATTTTTTTTTTTATATAGTTTCTGTGATGAGTTGTACCTCTAAACACGATATGTATGTACTAAAAATTACTTTGTTCGTTAAACTGGTGAATCAGTAAGGAGACACGGTTTTATAAGAATATTAAGACTAGAAATGAGTAAAGATTTGAATTGAAAAAGTAATGCAACGCTATTGCTGCTTATTGTATATTCCCTGTCTAATCATCTTGAAATTATATACAGAATAAATTCAAATAATACATACATAAAAGGTGGACCTTTCTTTTCGAATATTCAGTTAAACGTTCATTCGAACCTCGGGTTATTAATACATAATACGTAAACAAAACATTGTATACCTACTGTCAAAAATATGATTCGAGTTATGACAATCAATATACATAGTCACAATATGGCTTTTTACAGATTATTCTTAAGTCCACCTCTATGCAATAGTATTTTAATGGTCATAATTCAGTACTACGCAAAGTGATACAATTCATATATACCAAAATACATTGGCAGTAAAAGTAATCGGTAAAGAAACGTTTCAACATTTACGTGCTGGTGATCTTAAAACATATCGGTACATTATTTTTTATGTAAATGGAATGAAATAACCGTTTGCATATCAACATCGAGCAGTTCTTGTTTCATACGATGCAAAACGTCCAGACTCAAACAATTACGGGAAAAGAACAATTTTGGCAGCATATATAATACAAGGCAGCGATAACTTTATACAGGATTTCTAAATGTTTGAATGTGACGGTTTTGCGTTCTTGTTAAGTACAATGTAGGATTTAAACGCGCTCGCGTCGATTAACTAATCACTGGACTTAATTACAAAATGCATTTCTATGCACGGGGACCAGTACCATTTAGGCGTACAAGATGAGAAAACAGGGCCACGGAGTTCTCCATGATCGCTGTGCATTACTTTTACCGTTAGTGCAGCTTTACATATAAAATCGTTAACGTATTTAACTCAGACGAAATTCGTTCGGATACTTTTTGCCACGGCGAAACAATAAGACGTTCTTTCTATAATTTCAATATAAAGAGGGAGAAAATAACGAAAAAGTTCCGTGTGAATACGCAGAACTATTGTTTCCAGGGAAGCTTCTGTATTATATAACTGTTCCCAAAAGTTATCCACTGTAGCGAGTTTGGTATGTATGAGGCTAGATTCGTACATTTTCCAATTCAATCAGGCAAAACCGTAAGGATCGATAGTTTTGCTGGAGCAAGGTTGAACGTCATCAGGTGGTGGTTGCCATTGCTCGGACCACATAGCGGTACGTGCCATAGCCAATTCCACTTTATCGGTGCTGGTACTCGACGCGCATTCCATCTCCCAATGGAAACCGTTTTGCGTCACTTGCATCGATGTGGATTCAATTATACCACAATAGTCCTGTGCGTTACTGTTCACTGGGATCTGCGAACTTTTATTCCTAACCTGCATCGAACCACTGCCTCTGTGCTCGGCACTGGGCCAAGGTCGGGACTGATCTATCGATTGTAACGGTAACTTTCGCGGCACCCGTCTAGTTTTATTATCATCTGTAATATGACCACTATCAGTTTTAGCGTTCATCAAATTGCCGTCGCCCGTCGAACTGGTATCACCGTCTCTTCTTCGTCTTCTCCGTCTTCTCTCGGTCTCGACGTCGTCTCTTTGAATCTCCTCGGTATTATCCTCGGATGGCAAAAAGTGTTGCCTCGCGGAGGCCCAATGATCCTTTCTATTGACGTTTTGCTTATACTTCGAGTGATTATCATTGCCGTGGTGACCGTTGTTCGTGTTCGTGTCACTGTCTGCAGTATGCTTCCTCGACTGTTGAGTTTTCCACGAAGTAGGTCTCTTTGGGCTACGCTCTTTGAGAGTGGCCTACAAGAGCACACACACATATATACATGTATTTATAGTCATTCTATGCGAAACAGTACTAAAACAGAGCAATCACTTACCCCAGAAGAAGAAGAATTGTCAACAGGTTTATAAAGTTGTGTTGGTGTATGAGTACGACTATCTGGACCCCTACAACTGGATTCACTGCGACCATGTATCCACGAAAGTAAAAACGCTAGAACAGCACACGAGAGTCCAAGTGCTGCTGCGGCAGACAGCTGAGAACGAGTGCGTCTTGGCACCCAGCCTCCGCTGTGGTATTCCCATATAGAGCATGCTAGTAATGCACTGCTTAATGCGTAAGATACGCCTATACCAGTGAATACCCAAGCATTCTATAAGAGGTGGGTTCTATCAGATATATCAAATAAAGTTCAAAACTGCTAATAGTACGCATTAAAGCTTTATATGTTTGATTGTACAGATTATTCGCTAACAGGTGTCAAAAATGTTTAACTTGTCTTGCCTGGCAAAGCTACGGCACTGACGATTATCGACAATTAGTACCACCCTCTAACATTTCTGATACTTGTTATCAAATACGCTGTGTAAAATTAATAGAAAAATGAACTGACGACTATATATATTATCGGCTACTTACCAACTTAGCCCAATTTAGAGGAAAAACATAGACGACGTGTGAAATATCAAGGAAGAGGAGTAATGCAGTGACCAGAAAACAAAAAACTGCTATAAAGATCATAAAACGGAGCCGCCCGACTAAAGGTAGCATAAACAAGCTGACCTTGGCAGTACCAGAACTGCATAATGTCGCCAGACACGCCGCCGATGAAATCTGTTGAAATATGTTTTCCGTTAAATCATCTTCCGAAGGATCGATAAAACAGAAAAAAATAATAGATAAATCACTTACGAGCAGTAAGAGTCTAACAACACCGATAGCCGTTTTAAGATGTCCCTGTATATCACAATAAAGAACCAAGTGACTCGCTCTCGGCCAAGCCAGAGCGTTAGAGGAAGAGCCATGGTAGTCGCCATAGCCATAGCCGTGATAGTTAGCATGCGAGTCCCATGAGTGGACCCCTGGTGAATCCAGCTCCAAAGGTTGGGAGCTAATTTGCCCCCCTGACCGACTGCCTGCTATTAATACAACATCGAACAATGTACATATTCATATACCATTTTCCACGTACATTAATAGGAAACAATATCTTCTCTTTAGTTGGCCACATTTCAAAAGTAGACGTTTACTAACGTTACAGTTGTATTGCAAAAAACACCAGCAATTACCAGTGTTACCATGTTGTATGATATCGAGTTTCCAGACAATACGAAAGCTTTGTGTTTACTACTACAGTGTCTCGTAAGAATTCTTAATTTTCATTTATTTCATTATTTTCGTACCAATTTCGAAGTCCTGAATATCTTCAGGTCTAGAATATGCAGAAGCTGGTAGTTCCAGGTCACGAATCTCTTCTAAAAGAAGAACCTCTATCTCGTCGGTTGCATATAAGTCCGAGACCGAGTGAATATGATGCCGAGTCTCGCTCATTACTTAAGCACGATCGACTGCTTACTCCTTCCTGCCTGCCGACGATGTTTTCTAATTGCTCCGCTATTAACCACCATTCGTTACTCGTCGACCCTATAATTCGCTCCATTTGTTTGTCTGCCATTGTGTGCACATACTGTGTGCCATCTCTATTCCTGATTACAAATGAGTAGTGTCGCTTGATGGCGCGCTAAACATAGACAGGATCAAGGAATAATTGTGTAAATTAACAAACGAAACAAACATCTTTTTGAAATAAAAATTAATTTATTCAAAATAATAGCAATATAATAAACAAAAGAAACAGAAATTAAAATATAACATAATCGCTTAATATTACTTGTATAATTGAATAAAAGAAATGTATTACAATATTCTAATAATAAAATTGTATCACAAACTCTTCCATGAGTATAAAAGGTATCAATTGATGGATACATATATATTACTCGAAAATTTACTTTGTACATACTTAATATACATTTTTCTGAATGTCAAAGTTTCTTCATAAAAAGATGAAATCATTTTGTTTCAATACTAATGTAATTACTGTATAAACTACAGATATTTACGTAAATATAGATTTTTATGGACTAATTAAGAATGTATTGAACTTTCTTAAACTTTTCAATATACTAGGTTTTAGATAACTGTGTGTAGTATACGTGCATAAAATCTGCAATTGTGACACAGATAAGCCAGTAAACTACAGTGAATTAATACCTTTAACAGAGACCAGTGAAATTTTGTACATACTTCTGACTTAATAACCCTATTATTATCGAAATTAGTTTAACTGTCACTCTGACTTCAGGAAAATAGCTTATGAATATACGTATCTGCATAAATATCCGTCGTCTAATCGTTACAAATACGAACCATAAATAAACTGTAATATCTGTATGACTAGTCGCGTAAGATATTGTTTTTTAACTCCGAAAAATTCAGCACCAGTACAGCAAGAATGACAGAACAGAAATTTTGTAATGGATTCTCGAATATTTTCGACGCATGATTCGGTATCAGTTACATTCAACGCACGTGAGGATAACTGAAAATTCTATCCTATGGTTATCTATGTTTTTCTAATAAAGTGTTCGTTAATTCCAAATCCACATGTGGTTGCATGTGGTATCCATCGAACTGTACCGAGCTCGGGAAGCATCGATGTCACGGATTCAGCGAGAAAACGGCCGACACATACCTCAAATATCTTCTGGTTGAACACGATGTTTTGATCACATTTTTCCAAAATTTTTCATAATAGATTCGGTGTCCGTCTAAAGAATAGCCGCCATTGCCTTTTTGCTGTTTTTACCCATGATCTATGTTCGTCACGGCGACACAGAAACAGTAGATGGAACAACTAGCTTTTTTCACGAAGCTTTTCGATTACGCCACTAGAGAGCTATGAACAGCAGTCGATTTTCGAAAATTGGTTGTATGAGTGTAAGTTCACAAATATTCGTATGATAGATTACAAAATATATTCAAATTTAATACAAGCGGGAAAACTGCAAAAGTGGGGTTTTGCTAAGGGCGTACGCAGGTTCGTGTTATTACACGATGTCGGTGCTATTACAGAGTTCATCGGGACCATTAAGTAATCACCCCCACCACATATACTTTTACTTCTGATTGTAGACTAATTGATAATACCACATCTATTATCAAGGAGTGTGTACTAGTTGACTACTACTAATTTCAGTATTTTTCAATAGATGGTGTTATGTATCCTTTTGACTGTATCATTAAAAATTACGAGATACGAAGAGTTCTCATTCCGACTGGTGATTTTCAGGTTGTCAGATACGACTATAGATTCGACGTTATCGAAAAAAGTAGTTTTATGATAAACATATACATACGTACATGATTATGATAAAACTATCTCATTGTGATTATTATAACATTGTATCCTGCCGATTTCTACTCTGTAAATTGTGCCAACACAAATCGTCAGTTCTTTGATATCGCGTTCATTAGAATCGCTCCTTAACTGCTTCTTCGGATAATGACAGATCATAGCAAGAGTAAACTATACATAGAAGTTGTTACCTCGGTCTGTCAAGCTGACAGCGAAACGATGTAATCGTGTTCTTTCGAATATTAGGACCGAACTATCGCATTTAATCTATTCCAAAGTAGTAAGCATGTGCGTTAAAGAACTATGATACTTGTAAGTCGCTCGTTTCATCGCAACTCGCGTTTAGAAGTTGTTCAAGTTTCTTCTAGCTGTAATCATTAACCATAATTCACATTTAAACCCAGTGTCTTCCATCATGAACTCATAGTAAGTGTTTCCCTAATTTCCACGAAATTATCTTTACTCGAGAGAAATATAACACGGATAAAATGTCGCGTGTAATTTATGCAATCTGTAAACCGGTTTCTGCGATGAATTACTTACAATCAGTGGTCAAAGCATAGCAAACTCGTAAAATTATTTAGTGTGACTACATAAGTGTTTTTTACACCACTGAACTATCATCCTCTTCGCTGAGATTTGAGATGGGAAGGTAAGGCAGCTCGCTCGCGGACTTAAAAAGTCTGTCGATTTAGTTTCTCTTAATTTTTCTATAAAAATCAGTACAGACTTAGGTTTGTTCGATTTTTTCGATCCTCCTATAGCAGTAAATGCTGATCCACGAAGAGTTAATTTTATGAGTTCGCTATATTTTATCAACTAAGTTACCTTAGCACACATTTAACACATTCGATACCGATGACTCAGCGTATGAGTCATGAATTATATTACGTGTTTAGCCAATGACTCAGTGTGTGGGTCTTACAATAATCGGTCTCGAATGTGTGTCATTAAGTATTCGCTTCCATAGTCTTCGTATCTAAACACACTTGTTCAGAATAAAGCTAAGTATATTTTCAATCATTAGCAACAGAAACGGACCAGGAATATCAGGAAATGCTTTCGATTGCTGGGTACAGAGGACCAATATACACGACGATTCTACAATCACAAAAATGCAACATCAGTTCTGGGTTACGAAACAAGCTCTGTCGCGAAAGCTGGGAAAAAAGGAAGACGAATGTATAGTGGCATCTGATGCAGAATTAGACGCGAAATTGGAGCTGTTTCGTAGCATACAAGAGTCCTGCTGTTATTTGCAACGAGTCATCGACAAATATCAGGAAAGATTATGCAGTAAGTTCAAATAAAAACGAACACATTCTTCATATAGAAAGACGAAGAATGTAAGAAGGAAGAACATTCACTAATTCGTGAAATTTTACATAGATCTTGCACAGGAGGAGAATGCAATGGGAAGGTTCCTCAAAGATGCTGGTAAACAAGATAAAACTAGAGCCGGAAAAATGATGTCTGCCGTTGGGAAATCATTGTCTTATTCCAGTCAACAAAGACTCGCATTAAGAGCTCCGTTAGGCAGATTGTATCAAGAAGTTGAAACATTTAGACAGAGAGCTATCGAAGACACGTTACAGAATGTTCAAGCGATGGAGAAAGCTCGTACGGAGTATCGAGCTGCTTTGTCGTGGATGAAAAATATTTCACAGGAATTGGATCCTGATACATCGAAGCAACTGGAAAGATTTCGCAAAGTACAAACACGTGTCAGATTGTATGTGCTATGTACTATTTATGTTGAATTAGGTGTAGATTGAGGATACACTGATATTTATTAAACTGTCCTGAATATAGGGGCAAGGTGGCGTTCGATAACTTGGCCTTAGATTGCCTTCAAAAAGTAGATCTACTAGCAGCCGCGAGGTGCAATATGTTCAGTCACGCTTTAGTTTTGTACCAAAGCACACTATTAAATTTCACCAAAAAATCGGCGCAAGCTTACTCAACGATCGCAAGCAGTTTTAAAGGTTACCAACGATACGATTTCATGGTTGTAAGAGAACTTGCCGAGCCGTCGACTAAATTGGCTCAAGAAACAGGCGGAGATGAAGATCCAGACGACAAAGACAAGTAATTTACAAGTCTGAAGAAGTACCAATAATGAAACTATTATCTGTTAATAAAATTTTTTGTTTTTTTTATCATAGATCACCGTTTTTTGACATGGACTATCATGACAATATAGAGGAAGCTGAAGAAGCTAAGCCAGTCACAGACGGTGGAGCCCCGAAAAATGAACAAGATGAGAAACTGCTGGACATTGAGTATGACGCAGAAAATATCCTGGAATTGGAAGGATTGGACATGGATTCTGGTTCTTCGAAAAACGGAATTGTTCAGTCGAATTCTAAAGGAGAACCTACGGAGGATCTGAATCAACTTTTTGACAATTTAATTTTCGACAATCTATCTTGCAACAGTGAACAATCAGCAAACAATAAACAAGAAGGAAATCCGTCGGAACTGCAAAAAACTTTAGAGGAAGAAAAACTTGGAATGGATATATTCGATAAGTCTGACGCGAATTTCAATCTGAGCAATTTATCGTCTTTAAAAGTACAAGACCAAGAGGAACAATCTCTGAATTCCCTTACGTCCGAAAATTTGGCTCTATTGAATGACATTCTCGGCGACAAACCAAGCATTAGCAACGAATGGGAGGCAATAGCCAGCGACACTTTTTTACCGCCGAACATTCTGAAACAAAGTTTAGGTGACGCGGCGCTCGGCGTCGGACAGAAAAGCATGCCCGCCAACATGGACGACAAAGTAAGTGAATGCCACAATAATATCAATTGCTACTTGATGTTATTTTTTTTTTTTCTTTCGTTTTATTATAATCGTAACATTTCGAAAGAACAATATTCTATTTTACAAAACAATTGTTCGTTCCGCGGAAAGACTATTTTGCGTTTATCTGTTTTCTTTAGAAGAAGAATAAGACTGGAAAACAAAAAGGGAATTCCTGGTTGGACTTGTTCGCTGAATTGGATCCATTGGCTAACAATCCGATGGAACATCTTTCCGGTGACAGTAACGCGTCCGCTTAAGTTTTTCTTTTTCTTTTTCAAAGCGCTTACACTCTATTGCGATGATACATGAACAGTTGCGATACTTGTCGATTGAAACTTAACATTCCTGGTGTGATTAAGACTCGATGTGTTGACAGTAAGAGAAACAAACCGGTGAGAATCAAAAGTATTATCAATTTTCGAGCTCTGTACCAAAGATGTAAAATTTGATAGTCTGTAACAGGTGTGTGTGTGCTAGTCAAATACTTCTTTTAAATACATTATAAATATTGTTTCACGATAATAAATAAGAGTTATCAACTTTCTTACTTGCGTTTATAATAAAATATGGTCGTTGAGGTTAAAAGTACATATGTATATCATACAGACATTTGTAATTTCTTATTACTTCGCGCGATTCGAATTTGTCGTCGTACGATCGCTTTCTAATATCATTGTCGTTAGTCAAACGATTCGCGGTTTAGAACATAGTTTTCCGAAGCAATCGTTATGCGCTACATACACTTTTGTTCCGTTTAAATATACAGAAGAAGCATTCGTTATCGCTTTCTCGTTTAAATTAAAAATACATACAATATGAACAGATTAGATCGTCGGGAGAGATTATCGGTTTTTGTATTCATTTTTTTTCATTCTTTCTTTCTATATATAAATATAAAATGCTTATGCATTAACAAAGTACAGGATCACAGAGTTAACACCAAAATATAATTGTATTTCAAGTATAAAAGAACTCTAAATCAAAAACCTAATTCGCATCGGTAACGTATTTTGCGGTTTAGGCATCGTAGAATTGTGCCATGGCAGTTCTGACCCTGGAACGAGGAACAATCAAACATTATTGAGAAGTAAATATTTTAATAAAATCATGCTCTGCCGTACTGAAATCTCACGCGACAATCGGAAGGCGACACTTAACCTTTATTATGTATTCATTTTCCACAAACAGAATAAATCTGTTTAAAACGCATTCGAATAAAAGAAGAAGCTAACCAAAAGAATTGTCCACATACTTATCAAATAACTGAAGATCCTTGCTATGCCGCAATTGTTGTAAAATACGATAAAAGCCTAATTCTCTTAAACGTGCTTGCCGTTGCGCAGCTCCGGGTTCCTCCCGCCAGACTAGGTTGCACACACAAAGCACCGCTGCGACCTGCAGCTTCACGTTGTTATGCATCTGAACATCCATATACAGAATAAATAAAACTGTTATTTAATTATAAATCCCTTAAGTTACAGAGAACTCGGAGAAATCATTTAAGGTAGCTCACACGTTTGGTGTCGTATCTAGCTGAAGGCATTTTATACTTTTTATCAATTTTACCTATTTAATCTAAACGATTAATATTTCAAACTACCTCAAAGTAGTGAGTTTAAGAAAACAAGTGACGTTGACATATGTTTTACATACTACCTAAGTTTATAACGTTTCTTTTTCAATAATTTTATCGTTGACCTTGTGATTTTTTCGATAGCAATCGAAAGTTGAAGCTTTTAAGAATGTTCCGTTAAATTTTCAACTAAATTCATAATTATTAAAAACTTTGCGTGAGCCACCTTAAAAGAAAATTAACATTGTTGTACTATTCTAATGGAAAAAAAAAAGAAAAGAAGTATTTAAAATAAAGTTTGCACGTGATGAAATAGTGTTTCCCAACGCACCATATAATCCGTAAGTTTTTTTAGCACATCTTCGTTGGCCATAATGTGATCTTTCGCTCGATTGCCGTCGGCTACGTTCGCCAAAATACAGAGAGCCTGTTCTTTTACGTCCGGTGGATGCCTCGGATCTTCCAGGACCAATATAACAGCCTGCATCACGTGAGCAGCATGATCGCCCATTATTCGGTCGATGTGAGCTTTCGTCGATAGTAAATTTCGCAACAGACCCAACGTCTTCATCAGAACCGGTATGTCTTGGTCGGCCAGTAGGCAAAAGATCTGATCGGTGCCCAAGCACGACAGGATCTGCAGCTTGACTTGTTGTTCAGCTTGAAACGCCACATTCATCAATGCCCAGATCCCGTTCAATCGCAATGCCGGCGTGCACCGTTTCGTGAGCGAGCACAGCAATTCTATTCCGCCGGACTCGAGGATCGGTTCTTTGCTCGGACTAAATTCCAATAATAAGTTACATAATGTACTCGAGGCAACAGTTAATAAATCAACTTCGCTTTCGCCTCTACCTATATGATACAATCACATTAATTATTAATGACAGAGCATACCGTTTGTCGAACGAATCGTTCAAGCTACAGACCACGATTATTTAATCTTTCACGGAAAATTGTATATCACATGTTTCAGCGAGGGTGCAAAATGTATATCGAACGCTTATCAAGGTTTCTCAACGTGAAACAAATCTCGTACGATCAAATTCAGATCCCGATGGACGAAATACAACCGGCCTTATGTGATATACAGTTCTTATGTTTCGGATGAATGATGAAGGTAGTATCGTCTTTTACCCTCCAATCCCTTATCCGCTCCGTGCAACAACTGCATTAACGGTCTCCAGACAGCGTGGTCTTGAAAAGTAGTACGAAGTTGTTGAACGCTTCTAGAGAGAGAATGCAGGCATCTGACCGCTGCCAGACGCACGTGAGAACCGCCAGGGTCCTGTAGGCCTGACACTACTTGCTCCATAAGACTTTCCGTCTCTATGATACGTTTTCGTATATCTTCGTCGTTCGCACCAAGTGATGCAAACGCTCTGAACGCAGCTTGTCGCATGTCCTGCGTTAGGGTTGCATCTTGTACCTGAAAACGTGGACAACGTCACACAGACACCCACACGTACAGGAGATATTATTAATAATATGTTCGACTTACGTGTGGATGCGGTCGTAACAGTTCCGCGAGTGTCGGTATTAAATGATTACTAATAGAGGCTAGACGTTGCAATTCGGTATTGACTTCCGTAAGGAAAGCCAGTGTCTCAGCTGCGACCACTCTTTCGCGCGGCGGACGATCCCGATGGCAAAGTCTCACCAGACAAGGCAAAGCACGGTATATTATTCGTGGATTGTTGCACATTAGAACCCCGGTTCTGTGCATGTACGTGATGCATCGCGCAGCTTCGAGCTGAATCAACGAACTTTTCTCACGGCCCATTAACTGGCCTAACGCCACAGGCACGAGTCTACCCTGCATCGTGTTGCTGGTAGTCGCCGAGGCGAGCAAGATGCACACCACATGATTTTTATAACACATATTCGCCATACAAGCCAAAGCTGATAATTGCACCTCGGGTAACGGAGAGTCCAACTGCATCGCCAACGTTTCTATGGCGCCCCCTTCCGACAACGCAATCTGCTCCTCCATTGTCTAAATAGGTTATACTATGAATTATATTACTGTAAATTATTTCGGCAATTTAAAGGATCACATTCAATCGCGCTACCTCTTTCTTTACCTTACATGATGTTGTTAAAATTGTCGCCACACAAATTTGACATGTTACAGATGTGTTTGCTAACGATACTAATCTAGGCACCAGGGCGGGATCCTGGTATATCGAATGAACCGGCGCCGCCGGGTGTTGAAATACTGTCCGTAAACAACGTAAACACGCCTCGTTCAACAGATCTGTCACTTTTAGCTTTCCTTCTGGAGGCGCGCCCACCGAGGCAGGCGTCGATAATAAAACCTGAAAAAGCAACGGCACTACACCGAGATCTATAAGCGCCAATACATGCTGATCCGTCCCTTTGGACAATGAACCCAACGTCACTGCAGATTCGAGCCTTATGCGATCACCGATTGTCCCAGACGAATCACCGAGGAGTTGCAATAATCGAGGTACCACGCCTTGAGCTATCACTGAACCCTTTTGCCTATTACTTCCAATCACGGAATTCTTCAGGCAACTGTAAAACATAAGCGAATAGATAGAAATATAGATGTAATATTAAATAATAAGTATAAAAGTATATACTCTAGCTGATTAGTCTACGTAAAACTTTTTCAAATGAAACTTGATTCGTATTTTATGGTCTTATGAAATCCATGTTTCCAGAGATTCTAATGTCAGCATTGGTATTGAAATAAAAACATATATGGTGTTAAAAATAAAGGGGTTAATATACATGGGAGATATCTGATGCATCTTCTTTCAATGTAAATACAAAATGTATTTAACACCTAAATTTTATGTTAATTTTGTGCCCATCGTGAAATCTTTGTTGATCTCAGTGACAATTTTCTATGTCATACAATCTTTTCTCCTGGAATTCTTAAGTTAATACATTCCCAAATCAGTCTTTCTATTTTCATTTACAATGAACTCGAGGATCTGAGTTATTAAAGCATATTTTATTATTCTTGATTAGTACTAGAAAGCTCTAATATCTTGTATGCCTTTTTGAAGAACTAAGTTAACACTGGAATTTCTGCAAATAAGGATTTCATGTGAACATAAAACACTGTATCGAATTCGTTATGTAAAGTAAAACACTTTCATTTGACGAGTCGTTTATATTCTAACTAGTCGGAGGAATAGTTGTGCGTAAAGATTTGAAGCAGACATACTGTACATCGAAGAAATAGAAACTTTCAACAGAGAACCATATAGGTTAAGTACAATTCGTACTCACATGATAGCTTCCAAGCATTTCTGGGGATCTGGCGAATACAGTTCATCGATGTAACTTCTGGAGCTCTCCACATCCTGTGACACAATCGGACAATCACTTATCGCGTAGAATTTTGCAACAGAAACGGAGTAGGCCGATTCGGATTGTCAAAAGTAGAAGGGACCGGTAACACGTCCTCCTTCCAGATACTGTTCACTTACCATGAACGGCTGCATCACCGAGACCATACTTCTTCCCTTTCGTTTTTACATAAATGAATCGCAACGTTCACTCACAAAAATCTTGAATCAATTCACCGATTACCACGAGGAATCGTAGAATCGAGTTTGTTTGTTACGTGAACGCTCGTCGTTTCATCTGGCAAGATTTATGTTCTGAACGAAGCTTTGCACCAGCTTCAGGGTTGCCACTATTGTACGGGTATTACATTTGTAATTTTAAAATTCACTAGAAATTGGAAGAAAGTTTACGATTTTTGTCAATTTTTAGTTATTACGAATTTAATGTTTAGTTACTATGAATTGGCCGCCCCTGTACAGATCTACATTCGGCTAAAAGGAGAGGACTCCAAATGTATATCTTAGATTTGGTTCAAACTCTTCTCAATTAAAGTATAAACTATGCACAAACAAACCCTAGTGGGGTTCCACCACATAGGCCTTCGTTCTTGAGAAAATGAACAATAACCATTTAAAAGGAGGCAAGATGAGACATAATTTGAAGTACTGAAGGCAAGAGTGGTCGCAATCCGGGGATCGGCAGTTATTGACTCCCGCCCTACCCTGTCGGTTTCTTTTTTCACATGTATTATTTTTTTTTTAATTCTTACGTGATTTATATTTATTATTGTTCCGTTGAAATTATTCTGAAGTAAAAAAACAATTACAAAATTACATTTCATTTATTTATAGGTAAAATATGTTGGACACACATAATAGATGTAAGCATTATTGTTGGGTTTTGAAGCATTTAACTAACAATATCTAACTTTGAAAGCAAACCGTGCCAAACAATTATGAAACATAAATTTTATAATAAACAAGACCGCGAGGGCGACCTTTGGCAGCTTCCCTAATTCGACCGCCACGTGCGTGGCACGTGTTCGCCCTCCACCAAGTCGGCCCTGTTTTAAATGTGAAGTTGCAAATTTTTTTGACGCAATGCTATAGTGACTTTTGCACAACTTGGTTGGTAGCATGAAGCTCGAAAGTCCCGCGCTTATGTTGAAGAAGAAGCAAGCATAGATTTGACTTCCCAAAAATCCTACAATTATCGACAAGTAAAATATATTATATCGATAAAAAATCAAGCCAGATATAGTCATGGAATCGCTGGACGAATATTTAGAGACTGTGGCTGGTTATATATTCGATAATGATAAATTGGTGAGTCATTTGAACAGTATCTTTTATCGTTTAACCCTCTGCCGGACTTACCGTTCCAAAACCTTCGGAATTTAAGTGTCCTTCTGACATTACCTCTTAATGCGTTGTGTAAAAAGAAATAGTACTATTAGATTCAAATCTGACCTTAATGATAATTATATATATATGTAATAATGATACCCTTAATTCTAATCCTACCTACGCATAGTCTTTTAAATGGAATTTCCAGAGGGTTAAATTTTAAAGGAAGATATTATGGATCATTCTTAGATGTATCATTATTTGAAATGATTTTAGGTAACATATAAGTGGCTGAGTAAAGAGCTAGAAGTCCATGTCAATATTGCCAAACAGATTTTATGGGAATTCTGGGAACGAAACAAGAACGAAAAGACCTTCGATTGTACTTTCCTAATAATGGGTATTCTAGAAAATGGTGGTATTTCTGTAGAAGTTGTAAAGGAGAAAGATTTATTAAAAGCAAAAGAAAAGTTTACCCAAATTGTCTCTGAACATGTTTATAGTCTCCAGAAAATGCTTTCTGACATACAGGTACTTGGACTAGCTGAAACTGGAGATATTAGATACAGTGCTATTAAGTGTTTTGAAAACAATGAGCGTAGTGCCGAAGAGATGCATGTATTACGCTGGGGTTCAGCATCCAAAGAAATACAGTTAGTTCCTCAAGAAACAGCAAAATCTGTACCTGAGCCTGTTAAAGAGAAAGAAGAACGTAGTCCGGAGAAAAAATTGAGTGATACAAAGAAAAATAATCAAAAGAAAGGTTTCAACAATCTTTTTGGCAAAGTTGGTAACAAACAAAAGAGTCCTTCGTCAGCATCATCTAAAACAGACGAAGTAGATAGGTCTAATCAGACGAAACAGTCACCCAAGAAAAGTGCGGCCGAGTCATCTAAAAAGAATGCGCAGAAGGGTGGACTTGGTAGTTTCTTACAGCAAGGTAAGAATCAAGTCAAATCCGCAAATGCTGTGTCTTCGGAAACCAAGGAAGTAGAAGAGAAAGTAGCAGAGAAAGCTACTTTCAAAAGTAAGGATAGTAAAAAGGAAATTACACGAGGGAAAAAACGTAATCGGAGCAAAGAGGGCAGCTCCGCTACTAAAAAACGAAAGCGCATTGCAGTACTTAGTGATTCCAGTGAATCTGAATCCGACGAAGTACAAGAAAACCCACCATCCCCTTCCCCAGAGAAAGTGTCGCCTGTCAGGATACGTTCTCCGTCTCCGCCGAAAGTTAAACTAGACGGCGGCAAACGCAAAGTTTTAAAAATGGTAGACAAAACGTTTGAAGAGGATGGATATTTGGTAACGAAAAAGGTACACGTTTATGAAAGTGTGTCGGAGGATGAGCCAGAAGAGAAGGAACCAAAAAAATCTGTAACACCCGAGTCTCGTCCTGAGCCTAAAGGAAAGAAGATCACGAAACAAACGACATTAATGAATTTTTTTAAAAAGTCGTAGCATACGTTGTAATTTTTTACAGCTTGCGTGGGAACTATCAGATGCACCAATGTGTAATTCATTATATTTTTTAATTACTAGACGATCTACTTTAAAGTAAAAATATCTTTCCAGCATTTCATAAAATGAAAATGATATGGTATGTTGAATGAATTAAATATTATATACATCACGGCCTTCCACAAAAACGAGTTCTGATTTTGTCATGAAATTGTGGATTACTTATTGGTACATCTAATGTTTTATTTTGCTCACTGAAATGTTAATGTTATATTTTTATCTAATGAATAAAATACGAATAAAATTTTTGGTTTTAGAACGAATTGAACGTGTACGCGCAATTATCTCGAGTTTCAGATTTATAGATTAATCTCAAATATAAAGCAAATACCAAGAAACAGATACAGACTCACCTGTTAAACACTATTATCAGATATGTTATCACAAGTAAAGTTGAACTTGTGCTACACTCTACACAGTATGAGTAATACCAGCCACAGTGTGATTGATCAAGTATAAAGCACCTTTGAAGTGAATTAAGAAGTTCTTACTAATACAATGTTTATTTATTTGTGTTCCACCGTTTTTTGCTTCTTATGTATAATATCCAGTTCTATGTGCCATATATGTTCAACATGTTTATGTTTAGGAGAAGTTGAATGTGAGTAGAATTGATTCCTATTTCTGAAATTGTTTTAGTATGATACATGAAATCCAATTTTCACATTGCAGTACATCAAAAATTAATAGTGGATTGTCACGAGAAACATTTAGGAAGCAATGACATGCTTAATTCCGACTTGTTAATGTTGGACGAAGTAACGTTACAAAAACTTATTTTATCGAGGAACAATATAGTTGATTTACCTGGACATTTGTTGAAGAGATTGAAACATTTGAAGAGTTTGGATTTATCTGAAAATGTGATGAGCGAAATACATACAGACATTTTTATGAATCTCTATAATCTTGAAGACCTAAGTCTCTCCAGGAATAATTTGACTTCGTTCGATGATTTATTATTGAAAGTTCTTCCAACATTGTTGACATTAGATCTTAGTCATAATCGTATAAGTACAATAGAACATACAATTGACAGAACATTAATGAAAATTAATTCCTTAAATCTTGCTCACAACAGTATAATTAATATATCAGAAAATTTCTTTGAATCGTTATCAAATCTACAATATTTGGACCTGTCGTTTAATAAGATCTATTCTTTGGAAAATGTTAATTTGATACATTTAAATTCTTTAAAAATTCTTTATATAAACAATAATTTTCTTACGTCGATATACATGCAAATACTTCCCAAATCATTAACAGAATTACATGCTGGATACAATTTAATAACGGAAGTATATTATGAACAATCTCAAATGGAAGTATTGAGCTTAGAGTTTAATCAAATTTCTGAAATAAAATCAAATTTAAGTAAATTAGAGAATTTACAACACTTGAACATTACCGGGAACAAGATATCAAACTTTACGAACGTTGTACTTCAGAATTTAAGAATTTTAGACATATCTTACAATAAGTTATTTTATATTCCTGAAACCGTATCTGTTAAAAATTTTCCGGTATTAATTCAACTTAATATTAGTCAGAATCCCATTCAGAACTTAACGTTTCCCGCTGACTTAAAATTCCACTCATTTGTTGCGAGTAATATGAGTATGTTGTCGACTATCGCGAAAGATACATTCGCAAAATTGGTACCACCATCAAATGTCTGCATCAATCTCACTCTATCTAACAATGAAAAGTTATCCTCGATCCACGAAGATGCTTTAGATCGTTTGAATTTATGTTCTGTAAGTTCTTTAAATTATTTCAGCCTCTTATTCAATAATTGACGAATAATACTTTTATTATTATTAGTTGGACTTAAGTAACAATCAACTTAGCTATATTGCACAGAAGCTTGTTCTACGTAATACTAGTTTCACAATGTACAAGGTGAATCTACAAGGAAATCCGTTTAAATGTAATTGTTCGTTGCAATGGATGCTAGATACCATGGTACCAAAACTGTATTCTACATATCCTAATCTTTTAGACGAGTTAAGGTATCTATTCCGGCAAAGTTTTATTTATGCTACAGTAATGTTAACAAGAAAATATATTTGTTATATTTTAATATACTTTGTGAAATTTTATCAGATGTGCTTGGCCGCTGCAAATATCGAACATGAGAATGGTACACTGGTACGGATGGAAGGGTCAAGTTTTCTGTACAGATATGTCAGATTTCAATGAAAAGCTAACAATCAATGTGGCTGGCGTAATTCCCGATAATCAAGTAGTAAAATTTGACTCTAGTCCTGGTCTGCTCGCTGTTCTGGGAACAACGATATGTGTATTGTCGATTCTCGTAATAGTAGGTCTTATTTGGACTCAAAGATTGTACATGAAAAGGAGAAGAGTCAACAGAAAGTTCTGATGTTCATCATATTTTATTTGTACAAATCTATTTACCTTTCATGATTTTCATATACTCGCTCCTTAATTTAAAGAATTCGACATTTTGTAAGAACATACTTTCTCTTTTATCTATCAGAACAACGAGAAAAAATGAAAATTGTTATTTTTACTACTTAACATACTTGTATGTACATATATACATGGATATTTTAACTTCGTCAAGAATCTAAAATAAACACATGCGCACACATACATATATAATCCTAATTCCACACATAAATACATTAGCACTCATTTAAGTATAAAAACAGCCGACATTCGATGCAGATGGTGAAATTAAGACTAAGATTGACATTTTGATCGCTTCATATTGATACCGATGAAACAGCCTAATTATTGGAAGGATTCGTGTGTTCTAGCTGAGTTGAATATTTTCACTAAACCTAAATTAGGATAATTCGATGATTCTCGTTACTATACCCTTTCTGAATATCGCGAGGCTAGTGCTCATTCAGGCAGGATACCTTAATAGAAGATTAATCCCCGTTAATTAAGAGTTAAATTATATTCGTAAGAAAATGAATGATCACGATAAAAATCGTTGAATATGTTCGACTATGCTAAACTTAAAGATCTAATATTGAACAATATTTTAAATATATATATATATATATAGTGATCGCTTTGGACGTAAAATGAGCGTTGTAGTTTCTCTTTTTTTTAGCTATATGTCATCTATTTGCCAGTGAGTAGATGGCACCTTAGCAGGCGGATTTTCCCTCAACGCACTCAAGAATGTACATATGTTCTGATAGTATCCCGGTTGACACCACGTCTCGTTGTGTGTACCTCCCGTGACCGGAAGAATTTTTTTATACGAACTTCTGCAATTCTTGTACAAATCTTGCATCATACGCGGCGGCACTAACGTGTCCGCTAGTCCAGAAATAAATAACGTTGGTACCGTTACCGACCGTACTTTAAGAATGGACAGATACTACAAACGGAATAGAAATTTAATTAATCAGTCGGGATACAGAGTAGGGAGAAGTATGTATGTACTTTAAAAAATCAGGTGGTATAAACAGAAGGCGATCTTATACCACTCTGTGTACAATTCAATTTAAAGACAATGAAAATACTTTGAATGATCAAATTAATTGAAACATCTTGCAAAATGCGAATTACAAGAATATCGATTTACCTTATTTTTGTATAGAAAAAGTGGCAGGTATTGTAAAAACTTTAATCCAAAAAGCAACGCAGCCATGTCAGGAATACTCGTGAAAGTATTCTCTAGAATAAGGCACCAAATTTTTTGAGAATTCTCTGGTATTGTGGCTAAGTTGATAGCTACTGCTCCACCTACGTGTGGAGAAATACTTTTTGTAATATATTTGATCTGTAAAATAAATTCTTTGATGCATTTCGTTTACTGTGAGTACGTGTATTACCTAATGACCTCCCAAATACAATTATTTCATTAGTATTTATGTCTGTTCTGCTAGACAAGTATTCAATTCCTGCACGAGCATCCATATACAAGCCTTCTTCAGAAGGCGAACCTTGTGAAAGTCCATATCCTCTGTACTCTAGCATTAAAACATTACATTGGACAGCGTGATATAGTTCAACTGCATTTTGAAGCCTAAAACAATCCTAGAATTATCACCAGAACTTTTAAAATCAATGTATAGAGAGCATCAAGCTTTGACTGTATACTATTTGTTTTTATTTCTGTCAGAATACATTGATACAGTTCTATTTGGTAACACCTGGTCATGTCTAATCTCTAAAGTCATTTTTTATAATAATGATGTAGCATTAGGCAGCTAATAGTTGTGGTTTTGTTTATACATATCATGCCCTGAGTTATGCATTGGGTTTCATAGTGAAATATTCAAATGCACTGACCTATGTCCTATGTTACCAGCATTGCCATGAAGAAACAACAATGTAGGCACCTGTTTTGCTTTGTCTTTCGGTTGAGCAATGAAGAACATGTGCAATGTTGTACCATCTCCTGATCTAGTATATATATTCTGGTAAGGTAAACTAAATACTGACGGTGCAGGAACATATACCCGAGAATTAGCTGGCCATTCTGGACGATACACAAGTTGATCTTCTCTATGATACAATATGCCTGTAGAAATAAGTCGAGATTTATACACAACAGCATTGGAAAACTATAAAACTTTATCGAATGGAATAATTGAATTTACCTGTGGTAGCAAAACAAAGAAGAAAAAATGCTGATAGTCCACCATATAACCAGTATAAAAGAAAACAGGCAAGTATGTAGGTTCCACAGAAAGCCCAACATTTCATAGCTATACTTCCTAATATACGGATGGGTTTACTACGAGCAAGGTGTACACAGAGTGACATGATTACTGTGCAATACCTCTAATTAATTGACTAACAATCGTTCACCTTTACATATATCCTGCTACGCATCCTGACAAAATCGTCGAGACTCCAATTAAGTCAAGTATTCCAGTTACCATTAGAAATTTCGTAACCTGAAATTTCGTTTGAAAATCCATCACACGGCAATCGAATGATATAATTTTAAATTACATTTCTGTTGATAAATAAATGTGCTTGATTTCATGAGAAAATCTATTTGTGCCGAGTTTTCAGAACGAAGCCAAGATCCTTTCAATTTCCGAGAATTCGGAGAGCATGCATTCGAAATTGATACTTTTAATGTAAAGTTATATATACATACATATGTATATATGCATATATTTACTAATGAAGCGTACCGTCGTTGGGTACGAAATACGGATTCTTTTTCCCTAAACAATAAAGTCCACAAATGTGATCTCATCTCGGCCAAAAATAAGCTTTTACCATGAAATCGAGGTGATTATATACAAAATTTTATATAGTATGCAAACATATAAAATATAAACAAGTAAAACTTTCATATAGAGTTTATAAAGTATTCGTCTTGTTACGTCATTCTATAAGTTACGCGGCTTTCTTAAAAGTTGAATTTAAAATAATATGATGCAACCGAATCATAACTTATCTGCTAGGTGATAAAAAAGAGACCTTTAGAGAATACTGCGAGACATTACATTATATAAGTTTAACAGAGAAATTAACACAACTGCCATAGTGAAAAACATCCAATGTATATGGAGATTATTAGAGTAAAATCAGTGCTAGAGACGGCGGATCACGAAATTTCAAGGAAGCTTTAAAAGGTACCCCACGTGTTTTGAGGTCTACAGAGTTGGATAGGCATTTTATGAATTACTATTAAACAGAACTCGTCAGTAACTATTAAAGAATTGGCTCGGAAATTAACGTATAATATTTCTTAATTATTTACAAAATGTTGTTTTTTCTCGCCTAAATATGTATCAAAAAATCCCATTACTTATGAAATGATTTAATATTTTTCGTTCGATAAATCTTTTACATTAATGAAAAGAATTTTTCCTCATTTTTCATTTTTGAAATGTAATCTACGAATTTGAGAATTTGCATCAACATCCGCAGTCTAATAAGAATGTTCAGGGTACGATGCCGTGAGTTTATCACGTGTCATCGTCAATATCCAATGCTGTATTCTGATTACTGTTAACCGATGCTATATAACTATATAAACTACCTTGCATCTTTATGTTTGCCAGTTAGTTCCGCTCGCCGTGTCGAATTCCCTGTTTATGTACGGTTGATAGTTGAGTGTCGTCTAAAAATCGGTGACAAACAATGGAGAAAATCTTAATCGAGCCGAGGGATGGACTTGTGGTGTCGTGTTTGTCTAACCTTCTTCAAACCAGTGCCGAAGAGGCACTCGCGGCTGGCGATACGTTCAAAGTCGGATTATCAGGTGACACATCTGGATTCTCGATTTCATTTACTGTTCACAATGTAATAGAAAAATTATGATTGATTATCGGTCGCATGAATTTATGTACTTTACGATGACCAGGTATATTTTACTCAAACTTTCATGAGACCATTTACAATGCACAAAATTATAGGTTGGGAACGATATGAAGAAAATTTTCTAATTAAATACGTTTAGTTACTAAATTTTTCAATTGCAGGTGGTATCTTCAGGATACTTGTGATCTTTGTAAAGCGTACTTTTTCAATTTAGAAATTCTGATCGATATATGTATACAAGGTGTCCCAGATGCATGTTGAAATATTTCAACATTTCAACCTATTTATTTCCACTAGGATGTCTACTTTATAGGCTTCCTGATTTTTATTTAGAAAACAACTTGCGCGCACATTGGCAGAAACATAGGCAGCAAATTGGTAGCAAATTGGCTCACGCAGACTCTGTTCCGTTTTTTCCTCCAATTTGACACAGGCCATGTTGCAAGACTTGCTGCCAATTTGCTTTACCATTTTGTTAGCTGGCGTTGCCTGCAAAACCCGAGCAAAATGCGGAAACAGATGGCAGGGTAGCTGCCCAAATAGCACATGACGTCCAATGACGTCTTGAAGACGTGTTAAAGGTGCCTTAGACCTAAAATAGCCGTAAAATGGACGTCTTTAAGGCGTCATGTGCTATCTGGGTGTGGGTCACGATTGACCCAGTCGCCGGTTTGGACGGCCCGTAAGCCGGGGGTTATCCTGATTTTTTGGTTCCCTGTTATTATTTATTATTGAAATTGACAAATTTATCGATAGACTTTTGGCCGTTAGAATTACAGTAACTAATAGTTTAGAAGCCATTTAGTATCATTGTAACCCGAAAAATGTCACCAATATATCAATAAAATTTTCATTAACAAGGCATCAAAAATAAAGAAGGTTCATCGTTTAATTTATGAGGTTCAGAAATTGTGTCCCTCTACGATAAGTGTTCCATTGCGGTCCCGCGTTTTGAGCGTTAATGGAAGAATTGCTGTATTAATAGAATTATTTTGTACATTGAACTGCTTATCTGGTAACGACAAACTTATTTCATTAGGAGGGTCATTGGTACAACTGTTGGCGCAGAGTTTACCTAGCATCACAACTGACTGGAGTAAATGGTACTTCTTTTTCTGCGATGAACGAGTTGTTCCTTTTGACAGTAACGACTCGACTTATGGAGAATATAAAACAAAATTGATTGGGAAAGTGCCGGTAACAGAGGACCAGTTTATAAAAATCAATCCTGACCTGTCTGGTAATATAATAGCATCCTTAAATCTACCTTCTCTTTCACTTGAAGATTTATTTGTATTATCCCATGTATTACACATTTTATAGCCGAAGAAGCTGCAAAAGATTACATCAAGAAGATGTCTGTATTCTTTCCTCCGGATCGTGTACCATGCTTCGATGTGCTTCTTTTAGGATTGGGTCCAGATGGACATACATGTTCACTTTTTCCTGGTCATAAGATTTTGAATGAAGCAACTTTATGGGTCTGCCCTATTAACGATTCTCCTAAGCCACCGCCGTCTCGTATTACTCTAACACTTCCGGTGATAAATAACGCAAAGAAGTGTATATTCGCTATCGTTGGATCAGGCAAAGCCGAAGTTATTAAGGTGATCACATTATCGAATTTAACAATAATTTTCCAATTACATTTGCACAAGAGTTGTCTTCTTATTCTTACTATTTAATAATTCACAGAAAATCTTGCAAGATAGAGAAAATTTACCAGCCGCTCGTGTACAACCACACAACGGAGAATTGTATTGGATCCTAGATGAAGATGCTGCTAAATTCTTAGACACGGTCTAAGGAGATTTGATACGATTATTGACAACATTCCATACTGTATCGTGTTCCGATGCGCAGCAGACTCCTTGGACTTATTATTTTGTATACATATGTGCATTTTACTTAAAACGATATCTAATGGACAAGTGCAGGTTATGAGAACATTTCTAGCGAGTTATTTTTGCTCAAAGGTGATATTTGTTTGTTATGACGTTGGATATTGTTCGAAACATGTTAGGTTGTTCTATTGTGCATTTTAATATAATTTTCTGATACTTTCTTTTTCATTCTTTCGTTTATATTTGTACACGCTGAATATATATATAATACAATCGGGCTAAACATTTTGCATTGCTTTATGAATTTTTTGCAACTATGAAAATGTGTAATTGACTGTCGACACAACTAGTGAACAAGTTTTATAAATTGGCATCCAAACAAACATCTTCAATAATAAAATTAAAATACATCATGTTCCTAATTAAATGTACAAGTTATCGATGCACGCTAAATTTGTATTAATATTTCGTTTGGTTTTGTTATTAGACATATAAAAATATAGCTGTATTTATTTTTAGAAGAGGCCGAGACATTTTAGATTGATAAAAATGTATAGCATAAACTGTTTCTATTTTGTAACAACTTTTTAATAAAACACGATATACTTGAAGCAGAAAAAATGATTTTAAAAAATTATACGAACAATGACGCGTGTAATTTTACAAAAATATAAGTATAATAAAATAGTCATTTGCGTAGTCACTACATGCTGAAATTCCGTAATGAAAAAAATGAATTTATTTAAGCAAATCTATTCCGTTTAAACAGACGTCACAAAAATGTGAAATAATTGACAAACCAGGGACGTTAAACTTCTACAGGATTTTATTTGCAAGAATAAATATTATGGTCATTGTTTGCATACAGAAGTATATATATCAAGAATAATATACACAATTATATATATATATGAGATTGGCAAATCATGAGAGACATTCTTTGGTAACGTAAAACTGTAATATTAGGTAAATACACGGGTATACAGTAAAAAGTGACTATTTTCATATGATGCACATGTTGTGTATATTTTTAAATGGAATTTAATGTTATTGACATATATATATATATACATATATATATATATACATACATACACGTATAATAGGTTGAGGCAGGAATATTGTTCGTAACGTGTACTTATCTGCCACCAGTCAAATTCAACAACCAGTATTAACTACTTAGGAACCAAATTGTTTTACAATAATTTATAAATTATGTTTATTTTTTACAAAAGTCTTAAGTGTACATGTATATCGAGCCATAAAATGAACTAAAAGGATTTCCGCCAATTCGCATCATTCCCCGAATAGAGATTTTATGTATATTATAGTTTTACCAAACCGTGTAATGCTGTATGCAATATCTTTGAATTTCACATGGCATACTATAAGAAAAGAAAAAAGTCTTTTACAGCTCCCTTTAATTTATAAAAACTATTTACAAAATATTCCTTCTTCTGACGAAATCGTGACTGTCCTATAACTTAAAATTAATCCAAAACGTTCGCCCAAAATACGACATTTTCCTGTACAACGTACCCTCAGAATGTAAATGCTATAGTACCCAAATCATGGGCTCTGTAATTTTGCATTTAAACGTATTTGCCTTTGCACAAAAAGTGAATGGAAACAGTGATAAGGTGGTCTTAAATTTACGAATGCACAGCACCGTTAACTCTAAGCTCACGTTCACCCAGAATGCGTTATATGAAATTATCGTCCCTTACCACCGTCACTTATTCATCTCGTAATTATTCTTGCTATTACTTTAAAGAGAGAAGATGAACAGACGCGGATGTAAATACTATCTCGCGGTCGATATACTTCCGTAAAGTGTAACTGTACATATTTATAATATTTAACATGGTACACACAATTTGTCCACCATTAATTCAATAGGTAAAGGATGAATTACATTCGAGACAAATGTGTAACAATGTACCGTGTGCCAACGGTGTTACGCCGTTCGTAGAGTAAGTTTTCGGATACGAACTATAAAAAAGATCGGTGAAACGTGCAGTGTTTTTAAATGTAATTCGCAGCATAACATCGTCGTAACGGATTTATATTATTTATCAATGAGTGACTGGAAGGTACGATTAACGAAAATTAAATAAATTTTCTCCTAATCGATCAGATGTTATACGCTGAATCACGTTTCCAATTTTAGCTTATAACCATACATATCACAGTTATCAATATAACCCTATTCTCCTTATTTCCACAACTTGTAGCCGTTTTCTAGTGTATTTGTTAAGGAATACATTCTCGTTTACATTTCGATAAAATTACGTCTCGTATGTGTGTACATAGGATAGACATATTAATTTGTTTTTGAAATTCTTGCAAACTGCGTGTGAAAAATTGAATTTTCTTTGCATTTTAACAACAAAATGTACTACTTTTTCGATTCCTTCTAACAAAAAAAAAAAAAAAGAAAAAAGAAAAAGGTGGATGAAATCGTAGGTCATAATACTTCTTTTCTGGACATCTTTGTACTATCGTTTCTATTTTGAAATTAAGGATCTACACGTTCATTCTACCTCACGGAGACAAAATATCAATGTAAGTAATAATAGCGAGTACAACTAAATCATTAATGCGGCATTATTGGAGCGTATACACACAGTGTATCGTATGAATTCATTAAAAGTTACTTCAAATCCCCTATGCTGGCCATTTTATTACACCTTAGCCTCTTAGTTGAAATCTTTCTGTAAACATGTGTTACTCGACCATACGCCACTAGCATGATACATCCGGAAAAAATAGAAGTGGTGAACGCTTAAATGATTGAGGAAGCCTCAAGTTAACAATAAATAGCGACTTTACGTTCAACAAAAGGCAGAGTGTGCCCCAATTGCATATTACCGCTAGTCGACGCGATCGACTGGCTTGTATATCTTAAGATATTATTAGAGAATAATTTAATAATTAAATTAAGATCACCTAATATAAATATTCATCACGTCATATTGACGCCTAGTAACCCCCTGACGTTCTCATATACAATGTAACTAATCGATACAGCTGGTGCCACCTGAAAATTGAGAAACAATTAGTTTAAAAACATCCTGCCGTAAAACAGCCCATTCGATACACGTTTCTAATTAATTCTTCTGTACCTTCAAGAAATTTGGCGTTAAACCTCTGTATAATCCACGGATCCCTTCTTTGCTAATAATATCTTTAAAAACACCAACCATGGTATTAGGAAGCGTACGTGGTGATACATCAGCTTGCAAGCGTGTCCTGACTAGTGCTAAGGGGTATGAACACACTTGACCGGCTGTGCTGGAAGTTGTTCCACACAGTAATAATATCCAGAAGGGTGGAGGCTCGTTTTTGTCGTGTGTTCGTAAATACCTATTCTTTAAAGTCTGCCACCAAAAAATTCGAATAAGAATATCTGACCAAGTAGCAATCAATTCTACATCACAATCTGAATACTTACTTCGTATACAGCCAAGTCAATACCAGCGTATGGAAGTATTCCTATTAAATTAGGGACATAACCTTTATAGAAAGATTTCAGACCTGCTTGTCTATATATTTTTTGCATCGCGTCAAGCAAACCAGAAAATTCCCCGGTTTTTCTGAGCGCAAACCTAGTTTTGAGTACCTGAAACATATTGTTCATAGTATCAATATAGAGGAATACACGTAATCTATCTATATTACCATTACTACTACCAAGGACTCAGAAGAAAAGAGGGGAGATAAGAAGGGAGGAAATGGTAAAGAGGAAGAAAAGAATACAGGAGGAGGAAAGGTGGAAAAGGGTAGGAGAATCAAGATATAATAAGTGGTATAGAGAGATTAAAAGAAAAGGGATACCGGGATATTTAAAAAGGGATGGGGAGAAAGTAGATGGTAAAGGGTGGCGAGGTTTAGTTTGGGAAGTGGAAATTTCGTTAAGATGCTCTCACAAACGAACTGTAACTTTTAAAAAATACATTGTTTTCACTTTATAAAAATATAGCATACTTTACAAGTATTATTTAGTAAATATATGTATTATTCAAATTGATAAGTTCAATAGTTTTTCTTTAAAACATTCCCAAAAATTGCCTTATTATATAGCCGTCACACATAGCCCCTTAAGTTTAGAAGTAAGAGACAATATTATAAAGGAATTGTAACCCTTAGGGGAATAATAAATTAATATATACTACCAAGGACTCTATTCTAGTAGTCCCTTGGCCTGATCGAAACTCTTTTAAATCGACGGAGAATTTTTCTATCAATTTATACTTAGGAATGGTAATACTATGATGGTTATTATTTCATACCTCGAGCGGATATATGGCTGACTGACTGATTCCTCCGGCTAACGATCCTGCCATTAATCGTTCGTAGAGTCCGAGCTCCCGAACGTCGTCACCTTTGATCGCTCTCTTAATTTGCTCGTAAGCCATGAATTTCAGGGCGCTTTCCGGTCCGATTTTAAGTACGTTTATACCGTTCCCCCGCCACAGGCTACTCGATCCACCTTCGCGGAGCATGTACCTGAAGCAACTCATGATTTTGCAGTGTCGCGTTCCATGTACCTGAAATTATGTTTCTTCGTCGTAAAGCAAAGAAAGGTAATGGTGATTGACTTCAATTTCCATTATAACTTATATACATATTTCATCGATGAACAATCTTTTAAATAATTTATAGTTTCAAGCAAGCATCAGTTCCTAAAAATCTTCAGATACAGTAAATCCTCGATGAGTGTTCGAAGGATCCTCAGCACTGACAATGAAAGGTTCCCAGGTGTAACTAAGACAATTTTAATGATGTTTACCACTAATATTTAATGTTCAGTGCTGAAGAGCCTTCGAACACTCATCGAGGATTTACTGTACACAGTACACTAATACGTTACATTTCTCTGAGAGCGACTTTTTTTTTTATTCTCTTTTTTTCTCTGTGAACTCACCTGTAGGTAGACTTTAATCCGATCTAAAGGCGCGGTACACGTTCGCGACACAGCACCCGCTACGCCACCGGACACCAAGTGTCGCCACCACATTCCAGACACCATTTCGCTAGTCGTGAAGTCTTCGGGGACACCGATGTCCTCCCCGATGTCCATATACTGAAAAAAAATTACCCGAAAAATTACGATCAATAAAATAAATATATATACACCGAATATTTTTCAATGCCTCGCCAGATTCGTATACGCAGATATACTATGTATACCGAGAGCGGATTATAACTTTGCACGCGAAGAGAATCCGCGGCGCCGAAAATCGAATTTTCCCTCGTGAAATCATGCATAACTGAATTGTTTGCAATTAACCTTCTGCCCGCCATGTTTTGTGTATTTTGACGTACGTCCGATGTTCATGACCGCATTTTTCTTTCGTTGTCACCACCACGTGCGTATACGGAACAGCGCAACATATTATAATCGTTTTATATACAAGGTGTCCCAACTGACGCAATCAAAAAAATTTTCATATTGGCTATTTCTAACGACACGAAGATAATTAGGCTAGGACTGTATATTCCAGTGCCGGAGTAGGGGTGGGGGCTGAAGCCCTGGGCCCCACTTTCCAGAGGGCCCGTTCTAAGCCTTACATTTATGTCAAAAAAAATTGAATAATATTTTGTTTACTGTATCTCTTCTGAAATAATCAGAAATCACAGTAAATGCGGAAAGAAATTGGACGAAAGTTATTAAAATATTTTAAATTTTCGTAACATAAATATAACGTTATATAACGAAGCATTGTTAAAATGAAAGTTACCAATAACGATCACCGAAAAACACGAACCTTTTATGCTATATCAGATCCGCATTTTTAAATAGTATTTTAGCATGTTAATCTTATCTAAAAAGCTTCCGTTTGGAATGCAAAAACGACAACAATGACCTTGAATGAAATGGAACATACAACAGTGGCGTACATTCTTGTAACGTTAATATAACTAGCATACTTCTGGGTTAATTACTTTTTTTCCGGGACACCCTGTATATATAGTATGAGCGTATATGTATACATATAGTACATTCTTTCCGGCTGATTTCCGTTAAACCGGGCGGTTTAAAATATCATATAAGAATTAAACGTTTTTCCAGCCGCTTTATCTGTCTCATGCGCGAAGCCAGTATTAACTAGTTATCATCCTCGGTTATGCTAAAATCACCGCCGCCGCCAGCCGGTCTTGGCTCGTTCCGGTCGAGTCTGTGGTGTATATAATCACGTGCCCGCAGATAATACTTGAACTCCGATCAGCTGTACACAATTATTGCGTGCTATATAGACACGTCGAGAAACGCGTGGGTGGCTGATTTCCGACTTGTCTTATGAATCGTGGATGGTTACATCAGAATTTATTCGTCGTGAAATGTTCAATGACTGTTTCTTCGGTTATCTGATTCCCGTGTAACCGTAACCGTCTCGAAAGTGCCCCTAGGCATTCGGCCGGCCTTGTAGTATCTATACATTCGCAGGAACGATATTTAGAAAACGTTTTTGGCGCCAATCGAGCCTTGGTAAATCGACAAGTGAAAGTTATATGTAAATCGACGGCGAACGGAATTCCCATGTGGGATTTTCGAAGAGCGAATTTCGAACGGGAATTTGGTTAATCACGATTATGAAACAGTGAACTTAAAATGTATATATACACAGTGGAGTTCTTGATATATTGCCGCCGCGAGGCACTTCTCTTCCACACGTACTTTCACGCGCAGCTATCCCCACCGGCATGATCCAGCTCTTGCGCAGGCGCTGGAGGAAGCTCTTGATGTATTGCCGCTTTCGAGAACTTGTTAAGGTACACACACGAACAAACTCGGCTTCCCCTAGAGGAAAAAGTGGCGTAAGAGAAAGGCCTCCTACCACTTGGTAAATTTATTTCAAGCACTGTGATAAATGTTAAATCGAACATTAATTTAAAATAAAGTTGAGTAATTCCCAATACCAAGTGGTAGAAGCATGGTAGGAGGCCCTTTCCCTAATTTTAAATACTGAAACAAATGTTAAACCGAATATTAATTTAGTATAATTTCAGTAACTCTGAGACCAAGTGGTAGGAGGTCTTTCCCTTACATCACTTTTTCCCCTAGTGGTAGACAAGTTTGCTCGTGAGGGTACGTTTTCTCGACTGTCTCATTATTCGGATATCTCATGGATAGACTGGGTAAATTTTGTTATCGCAGAATCACGATGTAACTTCATTCACGAACGTGATCGTCATTTTTTTTATCTTGAGTGAATTTACTCACTGTGATCGTAATTCTTGACCTTTAGAAGAAAAAAAAATATATTCAATACGATTTGAAAATGCATTAGATTATTTGTTTATAAAAATCAGTAGAATAAACAGAAATTATAATAGAATGATTTGCTATAACCATACAACATGTGTGTCATGTAACATTTGGATCAGAATTTACAATCATTAATTTATTTATAACTCCTTCTTATTCCTTTACTTTATACGAAGGGTCTCGTATTTTTGTTTTAATGTCGTTAATACATGTTCTCCGTCAATCAGAAACGATGACAAAAAATTACGAATCACTGTGAACAATTATCGATATTGGAAACGAACATCATTGAATCACTCGTGATTCACAAGTAGCAGTTCATGCCATCTCTGAATCACGACAATAAAAGCCATGAATTTTACTGCCACGTGAAAACGTGCCTTTACTCTTCTACAGACCCAAATCCCACAATCAAGAGCCCACTATGTATACATATACATATATCTATATACGTTTAGTGTTTCGGTGGACTTGTTAATGACTCGGCTGGTTGACGATAACTGGCCACATTTTATCGTAGTTTGTAGCTCATTGTTAACGATTTCGCGATAATGCTTCGGCAAATACACGAGCATTACACGTTTCACGGGGAGCGGAGGAGAAGGAGAACTATTAATTACCAACCGAGCGTTAGATGTATCGATAAACGGAATCGATTTGGAAAATGAAAGTGTACCTCAGTCATTGACATAACACGTGTCAGATCCGTGCGCCGACGACGCAAAAATAATTCGGGCAGTTTATTTCCGACCGCCGATATATCAAAATGTCTTCTAAGATCGCAAGCAAATGAGATGATTCCTTGTCCGGGCACGCAGAACGAGATAACTCGAAACGAATACAAGAAACGACCAGTACGAATAGGATCGACAATAAAGACCACACTCCCGAATTTTCAAACCCCGGAAAATCCGTTACGCGAAATAATTACTCCGAGGAAGCCAGAGCGTCG